CCCTGCCCAGCACAGATGGACGTGGGATGTGCCTGGCGGGGATCCCTCAGCAAACCAAGGGTCTGCTCCCACGAGAGCAGAGCCATTCCCACCTCCTGATCCAACTGGCTGCGGAGCTCAGGCTCTGCCCAGCCCTCCTCTGCTCCAGGTGAGTGAAACCCCAGCAGGAAAGGTTCATTAAGGGCTTTAATTGGGTTTGAGTGGCTCACCGTGCTCTGATAGCCCTCAAATGTAGAACCTCTGCTCAGGCAGCAGCTCTGTGCCCCAGCAAACCTGGTCCCACAGCGGGAACCCTGCAGGCAGCCAGCTCCTAAAGCCCCTCTGGCATCACCGAGTGCACCTGCAGCTCTGGCCACAGAGAGCATCACAGATTGCCCAGGCCTTTCTGGGCAAGGCTGTGAGACATCAGAGAAAAGAGTGAGAAACAATTCTCGTCTGAACTTCCTACACCTGTTACTGTGAACGTGTGCAATGTGCTACGGAGATTTGTTTACCAAAGAGCAGTTTCTTAATTAGCCAAGGGCAATAATTAATGGCAATATTAAATAATTAATAGCAATAATGGTGTTGTAATTGAAGGACCAGTTAGGTCCAGCTGTATCATAACTGTCTATAAAAGCAATGAGTTTCTTAATAATGGTCCATATAATAAAGAGATTGATCAACCTTCTGTAAATCATGGAGTCAGTGCTAATCATTACTCGTTTGGGGATGGCCTGCCGGGACAATTGGGAAGTTCTATATTGCTCTCTGTGCCAGAGAGCCTCTACCACAAACCCCCAGAGCAGCCCCCAGAGCTCCCAGCTGCCTCCTGAAGGGCAGCAGGGCACAGCAGCCTCGTGAGCCCATCTGCTGAAATTAAATCTGCACTGCAAGTGGCTCTCTCCAGCCTTTTATCTTCCCCAGCAATTTCTGGATGCGGTGGCGGGGCCAAAGGGCAGTCCCAGCACACCCAAGTGGGGAGGAGAGGGCCTGGCCGTGTTAATTGACTCGCTTTCCCCTCTTTGCTGAGTTCAGGGGGTCACTCATGAGCAGCAGTGACCGAGCAGCCCGTGATGGGAAAGGGGAAAGTTCCCCAAGGCCAAGGAGAGCCCAGGCACCCAGAGCTGTCTGGAGGAATGTGGGCAGGGGCTGAGGGAGCTGATGGTCCCTGGCCAGCTCAGCCAGCACCACAAGGTGCAGAAGCACCCACAGGCTCTTTAATTTCTGCACGAATTTCACAAGAGGAGGTTAACTGCTGGAGCTGGGCAGGGGAGGGCTCCAGGATGGATTCAGAATGATGAATGATGAATTCAGAATGAATGATGAATTCAGGACAGCCCTGGCCATGCTCTGGGCAGTGCATTCCAGGTGAGGGCTCCAGGATGGATTCAGAGCAGGTCTGGCCATGCTCTGAATTGGCAGTGCATTCCCTGCTGGGCAGGTGAGGGCTCCAGGATGGATTCAGAATGATGAATGAATGATGAATTCAGAATGAATGATGGATTCAGAGCAGGTCTGGCCATACTCTGAGCAGTGCTGGGCAGGTGAGGGCTCCAGGATGGATTCAGAATGATGAATGAATGATGAATTCAGAATGAATGATGGATTCAGAGCAGGTCTGGCCATGCTCTGAATTGGCAGTGCATTCCCTGCTGGCAGGTGAGGGCTCCAGGATGGATTCAGAATGCTCACTCAGGATGGATGCTTGTCACAGACTTTTATGGGAAATCCTTTCCTTAGGATTTTTCCTCCTGAGAAGCTCAGAGGCCTCAGGAACAAAATGCAAACAATGGTTATCTGCTGCTGTGGGATGCAACAGGTGCATCTGGGATTGGGCTCATGTGGTTGTTTCTAATTAATGGCCAATCACAGTCAGCTGGCTCGGACTCGCTGTCTGACACACAAGCTTTGTTATCATTCCTTCCTATTCTATCCTTAGCCAGCCTTCTGATGAAACCTTTTCTTCTATTCTTTTAGTATAGTTTTAATGTAATATGTACCATAAAATACTAAATCAAGCCTTGTGAACCACGGAGTCAGATCCTCGTCCCTGCCCCAATCCCAAACCCCGGTGCACGGTCCCAGGGGCTGTCCCTGGCCCTGCTCCTGTGCTGGGGATTGTCTGGGGCTGGCAGAGCCCCAGCTCTGTCTGGGGCTGTCCCCCCACCCCAAAGGCACAGCCCTGCAGCCCGGGGTGCCCCTGCCATGGCAATCAGCACAGCTCAGACCTCTCCAAAGCTTCATTGACCCCACAATGCTTTTTTCCACCCCAACATTTAAAAAAGGGAAGAAATCCTGCAAGCAGCTTTATATTAATCTCTGTATTCCCAACCACTTGGGAAAGGAGAAATATCCTCTGAAGAGCTCTAATGGGGCTCTTGAGCACACATTTAAATCAATTACATCCATAAAACCAGCTTTCTCAACCCAAAATACACTCCTATTCATAATATAGTTTTACACATCAGCCCTTAAAAAATAAAATAAAGAAAGTCACGCCAAGGTTCAAACATAATATTTTTATTTGTGGATAAAAATTAAGGCTCACAGTACTTTATCATTTCACAAGCAGAAAAATGTTAAAAATTGAGACTGATGGGGAATGCCCCCGATACAAATTCCTCTAATTGCTGACATGTTTTACTGAGGACTCGAGGTGAACAATTGCACAGGGCAGCTACAGGTATCAGTTTGTAAACTAGGTGCTAGATAGAACTGGTTCTTGAGAAATGTGAGCAGAGTGTGATGGTTCTCTCCACTCTGGCTGTCCAGTACACAGGGCTTGCACAGAAACACCCAGCAGGGCTGGGATGGATGAGCACACCAACCTCCCAAAAACATCCCAGAGCTGTTGGGGTGAGCACACCAACCTCCCAAAAACATCCCAGAGCTGTTGGGGTGAGCACACCAACCTCCCAAAACACCCAGAGCTGTTGGGGTGAGCACACCAACCTCCCGAAAACACCCAGAGCTGCTGGGGTGAGCACACCAACCTCCCAAAACACCCAGAGCTGCTGGGATGGATGGGCACACCAACCTCCCAAAACACCCAGAGCTGTTGGGGTGGGCACACCAACCTCCCAAAACACCCAGAGCTGCTGGGATGGATGGGCACACCAACCTCCCAAAACACCCAGAGCTGCAGGGATGGATGGGCACACCAACCTCCCAAAGCAGCCCAGCAGGGCCGCAAGGCATGGCACAGCTGCAGGCAGGGCTGAGGGGCACAGACTCCACTCCCATGAGACATTCTGATTCGTAGTGCAATAGTTTATGTCTAGAATGTCCAACACCCAACTTTCGGAGCTGAGGAAGGGCAGGGGGGCTGCCCAGCTCCAGGAACACAGAGGGGAGCAGCCCAGGGCTCAGGGATGGTGACAATGCACGGCAGACGGGGTGCCCAGGGTCAGGATGCAGCTCCAAGGACTCTTCCAGGGCTGCAGCCTGCAGGGAACTAAAGCAGAGCTGCAGGGCTGTCCCTTTAGCTCCCTGCAGCCCCAGCCCTCACTGGGAGCAGATCTCACCCCTCACACACCAACTGCAGCTGCAGCTGCACAGGGACAGCCTGGCAGAATGCAGCAGGGGCTGGGCTGCAGAGCTCTCTGGATCATTTGCATTATTTTTAGTGATTCCCTCAGCTTTGCTTGTTTGCTGCTGTCAAGGCAACGCAGCAGCCACGAGGGCGAGCCCGTTGCTGTGAGAACTGAGGGGGTTCTGCCTCTCACGGGGATTCAGCTGCTGGCTCTGCACCCTTTGCAGTGAGACAGCAGCCATTGATGACAGCAGCTGCCCCAGCCCTGCTGCCCAAAGGGGCACAGAGCTGCACTGGGCACTCCCTGTGGGGCCAGCCTCACCTGCAGGCCAGGTGCTGCCCAGCAAACAGCCCCTGTGCAGGGCACAGAGCCACCCTGAAGCACAGGAATCAGCAATCCCTGCCCTCCCTGCAGCTCTCAGAGCTGTGACAGCTGTGGGTGCACATCACCATCATCACCACCCCCCTGGGAAGGAGGGCACTGACTGAGCAGCTCAGGCTGCTGGAGCGGGGCTGGGGCAGGCAGAGCCCCCCACCCCAATTCCTGTCCCCAGCAGCACTGCCTGGGATGTGCCACCTCCTCCCCCTCGTGCAGAGCACCCCCAGTGACAAAATAACACACTGACACCGGTTGGGCATTTCCTGGGAGCAGAAATTGCCAAAGCCCATTTCCATAACGTGTGGGCAGGGAACGTAAGATCAGGAAAATGCGTGCCACCAAAAATATGGAACAAACACTTTCAGTATGATTCCAGTTCACAAACGCAGGCAAGGGCACAGAGGAGGCACAGCCATGGAATTCTCCATGTTACTGAACAGCTCAAGGCAAGTATTTCACCCCATAATACTGCAGCGATCTCACAGCTGAACAGAACACAATTGCCTGAACTGAAAACCAGGGGTAAGAGGGGTGGGTGCACATCCCAGCTGGGGCACCAGCAGGCTCCTGGAACCTGCCCAGGGCAGAATCCAGCTGCTCATGGGACAGGGGGCTCAGGGGGATGGAAATGGCTTTGCCTCACAACACAGAGAGCCCAGCAACCAGCTCCAATTATTGCTTCAGCATCAACAGCAGGACAGGAGTGCAGGGCTGGGAGCTCACCCCAGCACCTGGGATGATCTCACAGACTGAGCTGAGCACAGCACACCCCAAAACTCTGCCAGGGCCAACCTGCAGGACACAAACCATCACCAAATCCCTGCCAGGGCAAAGCTGCAGGACACAAACCATCACCAAATCCCCTGCCAGAGCCAACCTGCACGACACAAACCATCACCAAAACTCTGTCAGAGCCAACCTGCAGGACACAAACCATCACCAAATCCCTGTCAGGGCCAAGGTGCAGGACATAAACCATCACCAAATCCCTGTCAGGGCCAAGGTGCAGGACATAAACCATCACCAAACCCCTGTCAGGGCCAACCTGCACAACACAAACCATGACCAAAACCCCTGGCAGAGCCAAGCTGCAGGACACAAACCATCAGCAGGTCCAAGGGGAGCACAGGGCAGTGCTGGGACACAGGAGGCACAGCCCAGCAGGGACAGACACACGGACAGCAGTGCAGGAGAGGCCAGCACTGCTCCCCCTGCTGCCCTGCCCAGCAGCACAGAGCCAGGGCACGGCACACGGCACACACAGCCACTCAACAGCACCCACCACTCCGTTTGGCAAAATATTTATTTATAATAAATCCGTCCCAAAGCGGTTGGTCACAAAGAAATCGACTCCTCCTACACGGCCGGGCTGTAACAATGCTTTTGGTAGAAGTAAATAAACTGCTTCTTTTTCCACAGTGTACAAAAACAAAGAGACACCGAAATGACAGGTAACAGGACACGGGGGCACCGGAGAGGCAAAGGCAAAGCAGAGGGGCCCGGCTGGCAGCGCTGGCACCGTCATTTACCCGTACAGTCTGAGCCCTGGGCCGCCCCTCCGCCCCGGCAGGGCAGGCTGGTGCCCCGCAGCAGCTCCAGCCACGCTTTCACAGTACTGCATGTCAACACTGGGAATGGTTTCCGATATGGTTTAGACTGCACACAGTACTTGGAGAGGGAAAAGGGAGCTACTCCCACTCCGTGGTTCCCGGCGGCTTCGATGTCAGGTCGTACATCACCCGGGAGATGCCAGGGATCTTCTTGATCTCTGCCACCATCTTCAGCACCACCTGTGGGGCAGGGCAAGCACAGCATCAGGAAACTCGTGTGTGAAACAGACCCAATGAAAATATGTCACCCTGGGTTTTTTTTTAATTTTCTAAGCCTTCTGATGTTTGCATTCTTGTAACGAACTTTCTCACACGCTTCCTGTAAATAACTTATTGTTTTGCATTCTTTTACAAAAGAAGAGAAATTTGATGGACTGTTGGTTTGTCCAGTGTCGTTAGAGAGGTGGCACTCCAATCCACTGTCACTTTTGGAAATCTATAAATGTTAGGGCCAGAAAATAAAATTCCCTCTTTTCCACCCTGAGAACAGCGGTGTGTGCACTCGTGTTACTTCCTGTCCTATAAATGACAAAAGTCACCCTGGAAAGGCTGGAGGGCAAACTGCTGACACCAACTGTGCTGGACACCAGAGCCTGTTGGGACCAGCACTTTGCCACCAGACACGGAATAAAATCAGCTGGAAGGAAACCTCTGCTTCCCAGTGAGAGTCATCTTCCAGAGCTCACAATCAATCCATGTCAGCAAAACATTCCAGGGGAGAATTTGATGATCCTGAGAAGTTCAGACTCCTTAAAAATCCCCCAGCTCCCAACACCACGTACACAACATGCTGTTCTGTTTATAGTGAAAGCACAAATTAACACTGCATTGTTCTGCATAGGAAAACTTGATTATTTCCCCCATAAATATGGTTATTCTCTATAACCCCTATTACTTAGCCACCACACTACCACCTATCCTTAAAACAACCATTTTTCATTTTGAAGGATGCAGGGTTTTTGTCTGGGGGTGGGTTTTGTGGTGTTTGGTTGTTTGTAAAGACAAATGAATCCTCATTTTATGCAGTGGGATAGTAGTTCACATGGCAACCTGAGCTGCTCTTTTCATGGACAGGCTGCCTCAAAGTAGAGGACTTCAATTATATACAATTACTAAACAATGCTCAGATGCTCCTCAAGTGTGTTTAAAATAAAAAGTCAATCCTGCTCCTACAGTGCATTCCCAGAGGGACAAAGTACTTGACTGGACATGGATAAAGTTAGGAAAAAAAGAAAAAGCCTGAACCTGACTCTTAATCGTTCTTAGTGACCTACAGAGCAAACAGGGCACTGAGATGTTAAACTGCAAGTTTCAGTAAAACCAAAAGTGCCAAAGAAAAGTAATTCCTAAATTTTCCTAATGTCAGGAAATTTCCAATTACGATGCAAAAATTAACTCCAAATCCCAGGAATGGCTGGGGTATTCTTTCCTCTTTATCTGGTTGTATTTTAGCTCAGCTCTGCTGGAAAGCCTTTGAGTTGCCATACCCATCTGCCAGCCCCTCACTCTGTTAGTTTTTCTTCCCAGAACACCACAACTTTTTAATGATTATTTATAACAGAGAAAAACAGCAATAAACTCGAGGTGAAGGCAGAGGGGGGGAGAGGAGAGTGCAGTGAGAGGAGAGCTGAGCTGGGAGCAGGGCTGAGGAGGGAGAGCAGGGGCTGGAACACCAAGGAACAACGAGTGCTCCAGGGATGAGCTCCCTGACTTTGGAACATGCATCCATCCAGAAGAGGCCAGCATATAAAAAGTTGTATTTCTGTGTTATTTCCACCAGAATCACTTTTTGTGCTCTGTCCAAGATCATCTAGCACCAAAACCAAAACGCAAAATACATTGCTGTACTGATATGCAAATATCTCACGGGATAGACATGAAATAAGTTACGGTCAGAGTAAAGTACCCACACAGAAATCCACATGGGGCTTTCCCCAGCATTTCCCAAACGCAGGGCAGATCAGTATTTAGAAAACCACCAATTGCTATTTCTCAGCAGAGCTGCAGGAGAGAAGCCCAGGCACGCTCTGTGCACTGTGCTGCGGGATGCCCTCACCTCCTCGGGCACCTCGGCGCCCGGCGTGGCGGCGATGCCCGTCATGAAGTCGCTGGTGATGAAGGGCCGGATGACCACCGACCTCTGGCACGAGGGCTGCTTCTGCAGGGGGTCCCGGTCGAAGTGCAGCGGGGTCAGGATGATCGGCATCTGGCTGATCTTCCCAGCATAGCCTGCAGCACACACGGGGCACACACGGGCACGGTGAGCCCTGCACTGCTGCCCCCGGCGCGTCCCGCTCTGAGCCAGGAGTGTGCTCGTCCCGTGGGATCTGCTCCTCATCCTATAGGAGCTGCTGCTCGTCCCATGGGATCTGCTCCCCATCCCGTGGGATCTGCTCTCCTCACATCCTGTGGGATCTGCTGCTCGTCCTGTGGGATCTGCTCCTCATCCTATAGGAGCTGCTGCTCATCCTATAGGAGCTGCTCCCCATCCCGTGGGATCTGCTCCCCTCACATCCTGTGGGATCTGCTGTTCATCCTACAGGATCTGCTCCCTATCCTGTGGGATCTGCTGCTCACCCTGTGGGATCTGCTCCCCAGCTCCTGTGGGATCTGCTCCCCAGCTCCTGTGGGATCTGCTCCCCAGCTCCTGTGGGACCTGCTCCTCATCCTATAGGATCTGCTCCCCTCATCCCACAGCAGCAGTGCAGCTCTACAGCTGCAAACCAGCACTAGAAGGGCACTGGCACAGGCTCCCAGAGCAGCTGTGGCTGCCCCATCCCTGGAAGGGTCCAAGGCCAGGCTGGACAGGGCTTGGAGCAGCCTGGGATAAGTGGAAGGCGTCCCCAGAGCCTGGAGTAGATGATCCCTGATGTCCTTTCCAACCCAGACCGTTCTGAGATTCTATAAATTGCCACTTGAGATGATCCTCAGCCTTTGCAGGCACGCAGAAAAAAATCCCAGTTAATCTGTGTTATCCCTGTAATTCACAATGGAAGAGCCACTTTCCTTCCCACATCACATAAAACCTGGCGGCTTTATCAGTCGCTATTTCGAGCCCAATAAAGAGATATTCCCAAATAAATCTTTGAAATATTCTTTGAACTAGTCTTTGAAATACTATTCTTTGAAATAGTCTTTGAAACACTCAGGACACAGCTCTCCAGTACCCCTGGCTGGTGCTGGGCAGGTAACTCCAGACATTTCCCTCATTTTCCAGCATCTGCTCCTGAAAGGGAATGCACAGCTCCCCAGTTTCCCTGTTCCAAGGAGCTGAAGGTCCAAAATCCAGGGGTGAGGAGCTCCTGGGGCTCAGCTCCCTCCCTCCCTGTGCCAGCCCTGGCCTGAGCTGCTGCACAGGGAGGTTTTCTCACCGAGCCACAACTCCAGGCTTATTTTTAGGAGCAATTCATTCACACGGAGCCAAGTGTCACCAAAAGTTAGCGAGACACAGCTACAGCTTTGCCAACACAGCCAACAGTGTTATCTCAGCCTTTTGAGGTTAATTCTGCACAAATTCTGCTCACACAGCTCTGCAAACTGAGTATGGATCCTCAGAGAGAGGGATCTGCTGCAACTTGATTTATAGCAAATACAGGCAGGGCCGATGCAGTGCTTCCCACACAGATCACATCTCCAAAGGTAATTAAGTAAAGACCTGAGGAGGCTGAACCTCAGAACTGTTTATTCCCAGGCTGTGCCTGTGCAGCACATCCAGGGGACCCCACACTCGCTGGCTGTGCAGGGTTGGGGCTGCAGCTTTGATTTCAAGTTAAGAAATCTGAAACCACCACAGGCTGTGAGCATCATCCCCATGAGAAACCTGGTATCTGGGCTTTGCCCAGAACCAACACCATTTAAAAACTGTGTCAAGCTCCTTCACCTCAGGTAAACACTGAGCTCAGCAAAGAGAAGGGATCTGGGTGACTGGGTTGCCTGCACAAGTCTGCAGTGAAGCAGCACAGCTTTGAGCTTCATGATGTGTCAGAAGCAAGTCAGTCCCCAAAATCCCCTAAAATTAATTCCTGGCCTTTAGCTTTCAGCTTCCACAACTTTCCATTGCCATTCCACTAACTGATCCCTTTTTTGGACTGCCATTCCACTAACTGATCACCTTTTTGGAAATACCTGTCACAGACATCTTTTATGAAGAATCCTTTCATTAGGATTTTTCCTCCTGAGAAGCTGTGAGGCCTCAGGAACAAAATGCAAACAATGGTTATCTGCTGCTGTGGAATGCAACAGGTGCATCTGGGATTGGTCTCATGTGGTTGTTTCTAATTAATGGCCAATCACAGCCCAGCTGGCTCGGACAGAGAGCCGAGCCACAAACCTTTGTTATCATTCTTTGCTATTCTATTCTTAGCCAGCCTCCTGATGAAACCTTTTCTTCTATTCTTTTAGTACAGTTTTAATGTAATAGGTATGATAAAATAATAAATCAAGCCTTCTGAAACACGGAGTCAGATCCTCGTCTCTTCCCTAACCCTGGGACCCCTGTGAACACCATCCCAAATACCTGCTTGCAGATTTGACAGCACCACTCTGTGACCCCCACTGTGTTTGCAGGGGCCTGGGAGCACAGTGTGCCCCTGGGACGAGGTGGAGCACGTACCAGACTCCCTGAGAATGTTGTGAGCCTCGAAGTCAGCTTGCCGTAAAGTGCTGAGGACTCCCGTGGTCAGGAAGGTGGGGGTGACATCCGTGGGGGGCTCCTTGACAGGGGGCCCAAACACATACACCACCCTGCAAGGCACAGAACAAACACACAGCCTGCAGGGCAGCGCAGGGCTGGGGCAGCAGCAGGCTCCATCCTGCCCACAGCCCCGAACAGCAAAGCACCAACCCCCGGTAAATGCTGCACCTCATCGCTAATGAGGGCTTCAGCACGGGGCACTAACTGCAACTCGTGCATCTGCACAAGCACATCTGCAACAAAACATCTCCTGGATTCAGAGCAGTCACATCAGCTTCGTGTGTTTCATGTCACTCCTTGTGTGTCAGACGCTGCAGAGCCGGAGTGGCCGCGTGCATGGGCTCACCACGAGGCGCTCCCAGCACTGTGTGGGCCTGCAGACACGCACCAGGAGTACCTGTCTGAGGCCCAAAACACACAGATGTGCCAGTCTGTGCTGTGGATTTCTGTGTGGAAGGCAAAGCCAGCTGGGCAGGAGCCTCCTCAGCGTGCCTGGAACAGCAGAGGAGCCAGCCAAGACAGCAGAGCTCCCAGAGCTGTGGGATGCTCAGGAGGGCACTGCTGAACCCAGCAGAGCTTAAAGCAATCAGCAGTGCTCTGAAGGCACAGACTGGCCTTTATTTTCATTTTCTGACACACTCTGGAACTGCACAGGCAATCCTGATTTACGCCTTCTTTTGTCCCCTCTGCACTTAATTTAAACAGGTGCCTTGCAATTCCTGCTCTCACCTTTCAGAGTAAAAGCTCTGTCAGTAGGTGTCACTTACGAGAGAAAATGAAGTTTTGCTATAAGCAATTCTAAGCACTTCTGGCAGAAATCCCACAGCCAGGCAAGGAGGGAATAATTCCCCAGAGCTGATTTCATGTCTAAGCACCTTCAGCTGCTGGGGAAGTCATGGACTGGAGTGGGCAGGAAATGCATCCTCAGAGAGCTCAGCTGAGATCAAACTGGCCAGCTTCGGAGCCTCCCTGTGCATCAGAGCTGACAGCCCCTCACAAATCCCCTCCTGACACAAAGGCAAAGCAAAGTGCAGCACATCACAGCTCAGCCCCAGCCCAGAGCACTGCAGAAGGGATTTGCAAAATTATAGTGGGGCTGCCTAATCCAAGGATACAGGCCAGCAATTTCCTTTCAAGCTGGAAATAAATCCATATTTTGATTTACTGTGTATTTGTGACCTCTGTATGAGACACCTGTCCAGCACATAAAAATATCACACCCCAGACTAAACAGGGAAATGTCTGCACTTGGTAAAGCTCCATACATTAATCAGACGACTGAAAATAAAGACAGATCAATACTCACCTGTTGATGTTGTGGCACATGCGTGGGATGAGCCTGGCAAGGAACATCAGGGACTCCCAGTGTGGGGCATCCTTGCTGGAGATGCCACAGACGTAGCTGTAGGAGCGACAGTCACCCTGGGGACAGACAGACAGACAGACACTCTGAGTGCCAGCCCTGCTGCCACAGCCACCCACAGCCCCTCCTGCCCGTGCAGGTGACAGCAGCACAGCTGGGGACACCATTCAGCACACGCTGAATGCCCAGGACAGGCTGGCACAGCCCCTGCACCCACCAGGACAGGCTGGCACAGCCCCTGCCCTCACCAGCACAGGCTGGCACAGCCCCTGCACCCACCAGCACAGGCTGGCACAGCCCCTGCACCCACCAGCACAGGCTGGCACAGCCCCTGCACTCACCAGCACAGGCTGGCACAGCCCCTGCACCCACCAGCACAGGCTGGCACAGCCCCTGCACTCACCAGCACAGGCTGGCACAGCCCCTGCACCCACCAGCACAGGCTGGCACAGGCCCTGCACCCACCAGGACAGGCTGGCACAGCCCCTGCACCCACCAGGACAGGCTGGCACAGCCCCTGCACCCACCAGCACAGGCTGGCACAGCCCCTGCACTCACCAGGACAGGCTGGCACAGCCCCTGCAGCCACCAGCACAGGCTGGCACAGCCCCTGCACTCACCAGCACAGGCTGGCACAGCCCCTGCACCCACCAGCACAGGCTGGCACAGCCCCTGCACTCACCAGGACAGGCTGGCACAGCCCCTGCAGCCACCAGGACAGGCTGGCACAGCCCCTGCACTCACAGCACAGGCTGGCACAGCCCCTGCACCCACCAGCACAGGCTGGCACAGCCCCTGCACTCACCAGGACAGGCTGGCACAGCCCCTGCACCCACCAGCACAGGCTGGCACAGCCCCTGCAGCCACCAGGACAGGCTGGCACAGCCCCTGCAGCCACCAGCACAGGCTGGCACAGCTTTCCCTGCACTGCCAGCCCTGCAGCTGCACAGGGGCTCCCCAGGCCTGCCCAGCTCCCTGCACACCTGGGCCCAGCCCTGTACCTGCACTCCCACAGTCTTGATGGGCAGCAAGAAGGCATTCAGTGAATGTAGGCTGGTGATCTGCATCAGCTTCTCCTGGTCCTCCTCACTCGTGCACGCCTTCACCCTCTGCAGCAGCGTGTGGGGCTGCCAAGGATGGAACCAAAACTTTAATACAGTAAATTAAACACAGCTCCCAGCCCCTCAAACACAACCTGCACGGCACAAATAAAATTGTAATTTAAATAACTGTTTGCTTAGTCTACATTTACCCCTCGGAGCTATTTAAAGCACACCTCTCACCTGACAATTAAACACCAGCTGAAGCGCTTCTCTGTGATTACACTGAGTTTGAAGCTGAAGCTCTCCGAGGCCATAGGGAAAGCTCTTTTCCTGTGCTCATTTTCTCCCTCACAAAGCTGCACTTCCCAGTTTGATGGCACCACAATTCCATCTTTTAAAGGAAAGGCAGATGGGAATCCCTGCCCTTCAGGATTTACCAAAAAGCTTCTGGAAGTTGTTTTGAACTCACACCTCAGAGCAGACCCCAATAATGCCTGACAGCCACCGCAAAGGTCAGCACAGGTAGGAGATGTGGAAATCAAACATCAGCCATTGGAAATTCCAGGTTTTGCATCAGGGCCTGCTCCTGGCTCCTGCACTTGCATTTACACACCCAGGGATTATGGGGTGTGCAAACCCAGAATGTCACAACTCCTTCAGGGAGGGAAGAGCTTTTCCTGTCACTGCATGATCTCATTTGCACAAAGTTTAACTACAACAGCATTTGTTTATTATTTGAAAGGTAAATAAAGTTCTTGTTTCCAGGAATGGTTCAAAACGCTTGCAGCAGTCACAGCACTAAAAATTCCACCGAACAGCTTCAATGGAGCTGTACTTGGAGGCAGCATTCCTGACAAACACAAACCAGTCCTTTTAACCTTTTAGCAGACTAAACCTCCCTGCAGGTCACTTCAGAACCATCACTCAAAATTAAAATTTAGCATTTCCTTACCTTCTTCACGCTGGCAGAAAAATCTGCCACTATTTTCAAGATGTTGTTTGTCTCTGGGAAGTCTTTGCACACGTAAGGTTCCTCAGCACAGATCACTCTGATTGCTAGGCCAGGACCTGCAAAGCAACATTGAAGAGATATTATACCAAATAACAGAAGCTGTTTTCAGCTGGAAGGGTGGAACAGTGAGTCAGTCACTGAGTTGTGTGCATTCTGACATTCTGTCTAAGCTTCAGCTGTCTAAATATCCTCAAGGACAGAAAGAAACCAACCCAAATTGCCAACTTTGCTGTTTTCTAGTGCTGGAAATGTTGAGTATTTACTTTCAAGACAGCAAATGCCCCTTGGAAAGGCAGGGCCAGAGCATTATTCCAGCTCAGATCCACGTGGCAGCTCAGGCAGAGCTCACTGCACTTACTGAGAACTCCTCCTTTGGCTTCTCCCACCAAAGCTCAATCATAAAACATGATGTATATTTATCAGGCTGCTCTCAAGCCATCTTTCCTGAAAGACTGGGCTTAAATGATAACTGAAATAGATTTTTTCTGTGTTTGAAGATCAGTTTTACACTGCAGTGACTCTGGATGTGCTGAAGAGCACTGCTGTGACCCCCCAGCCCCATACCTGGGAAGGGATGCCTGGACACCAGCTCCTCAGGCAGACCCAGCTCTCTGCCCAGCACTCGCACCTCATCTTTGTGGAAGTCCTTCAGTGGCTCTATTACTTTACCCTAAAAAAGAAAAAAAAAGGCAATTTACACTCCAGCTCACATACCCAAACAAAAAGCCTCAAATGTTCAGGTTCTGGCACCTAAACCGGCCTGAGCTCATAGCACCAGTGCCAACGATTCCACAAACACTGGAAAGAAATCCCAGGTGAATGTGGGCTTTGTGGAACAGCTGAGGACAGAGGGAGAGACCAGGCAGCCCCGGGTTGTGCCAGAATCCGTGGCTCCAGCAGAGCAGACAGAGCTGTAAGGCCAAGCTGGCTCTGCCTGCAGCAATTCACACCTTTCTTGTCCCACAGCCTGGAACACACTTTGTGCAGGGATCAATACTAAAAATGGGATTATTAGTTGTCTCCTGTGGGGAGCTGGTAACTGAGCACCTTCCATCAGATTGCTGGGTGAGGCCTCTCTGCTCTGCTGGTTCTGAGTATAACAGTTAGAGAACTCAGCACTCCAGAGCCAGAAAACCAAACCAGGCAGCCTCCCACCTCTGCTTGACATGCTAACACTAACGAGCTGTGCACAGAAAGGTGCTTAAAGGGCTTTTCTGGACTGCACATGAACAGACCCTCGCTTGGTTTATCTGATAAACAGAAGCAATGCAATGAACTACAAATGACAATGGACTCTCAGGGGCCTTGCCAGAGCCATCAGTGGCAGCAGCAGAGTTGCTGGTTTGGTGCTGGCTGTGGCAGAGGCAGCAGCAGCCCCTGCTTTGGGTGCTGGGTGTGTGGCAGTGCCAGCACAGTCCCTGGTTTTGGTGCTGGCACTGCCACACACCCAGCAGAGGTGTGCCACACACTGTGGCAGAGGCAGTGCCAGCAGCAGCAGTCCCTGGTTTGGTGCTGGCTGTGGCAGAGGCAGGAGCAGCAGAGCTCCTGGTTTTGGTGCTGTCTGTGTGGCAGTGCCAGCAGCAGCCCCTGTTTTGCTGCTGGCTGTGTGGCAGTGCCATCAGCAGTCCCTGTTTTGGTGCTGTCTGTGTGGCAGTGCCAGCAGCAGCCCCTGTTTTGGTGCTGGCTGTGTGGCAGTGCCAGCAGCAGCCCCTGTTTTGGTGCTGGCTGTGTGGCAGTGCCAGCACAGTCCCTGGTTTGCTGCCGGCTGTGTGGCAGCAGCAGCAGCCCCTGTTTTGGTGCTGGCTGTGCAGAGGCAGCAGCAGCCCCTGTTTTGGTGCTGGCTGTGTGGCAGTGCCAGCAGCAGCCCCTGTTTTGCTGCTGGCTGTGTGGCAGTGCCATCAGCAGTCCCTGTTTTGCTGCTGGCTGTGCAGAGGCAGCAGCAGCCCCTGTTTTGGTGCTGTCTGTGTGGCAGAGGCAGCAGCAGCCCCTGTTTTGTTGCTGTCTGTGTGGCAGTGCCAGCACAGTCCCTGTTTTGGTGCTGGCTGTGTGGCAGTGCCATCAGCAGTCCCTGTTTTGCTGCTGGCTGTGTGGCAGTGCCATCAGCAGTCCCTGTTTTGGTGCTGGCTGTGTGGCAGTGCCAGCACAGTCCCTGGTTTGCTGCCGGCTGTGTGGCAGCAGCAGCAGCCCCTGTTTTGGTGCTGGCTGTGCAGAGGCAGCAGCAGCCCCTGTTTTGGTGCTGGCTGTGTGGCAGAGGCAGCAGCAGCCCCTGTTTTGGTGCTGGCTGTGTGGCAGTGCCAGCAGCAGCCCCTGTTTTGCTGCTGGCTGTGCAGAGGCAGCAGCAGCCCCTGTTTTGGTGCTGGCTGTGTGGCAGAGGCAGCAGCAGCCCCTGTTTTGGTGCTGGCTGTGTGGCAGTGCCAGCAGCAGCCCCTGTTTTGGTGCTGGCTGTGTGGCAGTGCCAGCAGCAGCCCCTGTTTTGGTGCTGGCTGTGCAGAGGCAGCAGCAGCCCCTGTTTTGCTGCTGGCTGTGCAGAGGCAGCAGCAGCCCCTGTTTTGTTGCTGTCTGTGTGGCAGTGCCAGCAGCAGCCCCTGTTTTGGTGCTGGCTGTGCAGAGGCAGCAGCAGCCCCTGTTTTGGTGCTGGCTGTGTGGCAGAGGCAGCAGCAGCCCCTGTTTTGGTGCTGGCTGTGCAGAGGCAGCAGCAGCCCCTGTTTTGGTGCTGGCTGTGTGGCAGAGGCAGCAGCAGCCCCTGTTTTGGTGCTGGCTGTGTGGCAGCAGCAGCAGCCCCTGTTTTGGTGCTGTCTGTGTGGCAGTGCCAGCACAGTCCCTGGTTTGCTGCCGGCTGTGTGGCAGCAGCAGCCCTCCTCACCTCCTCGCGCAGCTTGCGGATCAGCTCGGTGTCGTTGTGGTGCGTTTTGATCACCTCGGCCTTGCCGCTGGCCACCAGGGAAGCGCTCTCGATCAGGTCAGGCCTCAGGGTGCCCTGAGCAAGGAACACCTCCTCGGGCTTCAGGTTCATCTCCCCGATCACCTCGTTGGCGATCTGCAGCAGGGGCACAAAGAGTCAGAGCTCCGTCATTTTGGGGCTGTCAGAGGTCTCAAGAACGAATGAATTTTACAGCAGGGAGCTGGAAAAGCACGACCAACCAGCAAGCTCATGATGCCACTGTCCCACTGCTGAAACACTCCTGTAACCTCACCTTGTGTTGAGCAGAAAATGGAGAAAACACCCCCAGAGCACCGGAACATCAGTGCCCGTTAAATATTCTCCCTGTCCTTCCCAAAGGCTTCTGGAGTCATCCACAGCTCACACAAGCACCCACTAATTCACCACCAGCACTGATTAAACACTGAAAGATGCACCCAGGAATCACAGTATTTAAAAACTTCATACAAACAACAAGTAAGCATTACCTTAACAAAGGTGTCGCCGATAATTTTCCTCTTTTCTTCAGGACTTGTAGTCATATTTAAGGTCTTGCTAATTCTTTTACGTGGAGTTCTGTCCTCGTCTGAGATGGGCAGAGTCGTTGTGCCATTATAGAATGAATGGGCTGCATTCACCACTGCAGGAAATCACAGGGAGTTTTTGGGGTTTTTACAAAATCAATAAAGATTTTTGTGCAGGTTACAAAATAGAAGTTTCACTTTATTGCTTTAAAAAAAAAATCCCCAACAAATAAAAATAATTTCCTTTGACTATTAACTGCATTGAAAAGGGCTGCTCAATACCTCAAAAATTAATTTTAACAAGAGCCTTTTATTTCTCCTATTAACCTATTACTTTTTCCATATTGTGAGATTAGGCAGCCACATGCAAGTCCAGTTCTTGCTTTCCTCTCAGATTATAATTTACTTGCTTTAAACAGTTTACAGACAGTGTTTCCCTAAGGCCTTTCTGCAACCAAAATTAAATGATGCACTATTTACTCATGCTACATTATGCCACTTAATTCAGAGAGGCTCCCAACCCAGAGATCAGCTGGGAGGCTCTCTGGCATCCTTCACCAGCACTGAACTCCCTGACCTACACAAGGAGCACTTGCAGCAAAGGGATTCCCTCAATTTGCTCCTCTGGCTGCCTGCCAGAGCCCAGGTTTATTGCTTCACAGACTGCAAGAATAAGACATGGATTTTCCACTAAAAAAAAAAAAAAGATAAATATAGAAAAATGTGTTTAGAATGCAGCACTGCTCACCCAGTGCCAGAACACAGGAGAGCCCCTGGGCAAGGCAGGGAGCCCCAGGAGAGGCAGCTCTGGCTCAGGAGCTCACCAGGCAGCACAAACTTGGTCTTCTCTGACCTCCTCACACTTGAGACACCAAAAAAACCTCTGAGCCTTCCCATCAGCCACATCAGGGCACTTGCTGCTCTCTCAGGAACTCCTTCACAGAATCAAAAAGGCTGGAAAAGACCTCCCAGACCATTGAGTCCAGCCTTTGATCAATCAATGCCTTGTTCTCAAAAGTCACCCCAAAACCATTAAAATGCACCTCTTTCAAAGCAAGAAAAAATGCTCTCAAAGTCATTTTGCCTATAGTAGCATTCAGTCACCCAAATGAGCTCACAGCTGACAAAGAGAGAGACTCAGGATAAGGAATGAAGCCCAAAGCGTTAATCAGGATACTGGAGAAAATGGAAATGCAGTGAGCTCTGCAGCAGCTAAACAGGATCAGAGAAATGACCAAGGCACAAATCCAGTGCTCTGCTGTGCCCCACCTGCACACACACCAACATCTAAGGAGATGGGGCAGCTCACTGTGTGCTCCCATCAAGGAAACCAGGCCTAACACTCCAGGTTTAAGTTCCGCGCTCAGGTTCAGGTGGCTCCACATCACCAACCCCATCTTGGTGCCAGAGTCTGGAACAGCAGCTCCACAAAGCCAACCCTAGGGGTGGATTTTGGGGAAAGCAGCACAGGTGGCAGCGTGGGAAGGAGCAGGGAGCAGGAGGAGGTACCTTTGACGTGGATGCCCAGCTTCCTGAGGGCCTCCTCCACGGCCTGGCTCTCCCTCTTGCGCATGAAGCCGTTGTCGATGTGCACGGCGATGACCTGCTCGCGGCTCAGCGCGCGGTTCAGCAGCGCCGTGCACACCGTGGAGTCCACGCCGCCGCTGAGCAGCACCTGAGGGACACAGACAGCCTGAGACACCCTGTCCCAGCTGGCCTGGGGGCAGGGGTCAGCACAGCACCCACTGCAGTGAACACACACTGCCCCAGCTGCGCCATGTCGCAGACATCTTTTATGGAAAACCCTTTCCTTAGGATTTCTCCTCCTGAGAAGCTGAGAGGCCTCAGGAACAAAATGTAAACATTGATTATCTGCTGCTGTGGAATGCAACAGGTGCATCTGGGATTGGTCTCATGTGGTTGTTTCTAATTAATGGCCAATCACAGTCAGCTGGCTCGGACTCTCTGTCCGAGTCGCAAACCTTTGTTATCATTCTTTCTTTTTCTATTCTTAGCCAGCCTTCTGATGAAATCCTTTCTTCTATTCTTTTAGTATAGTTTTAATATAATATATATCATAAAATAATAAATCACGCCTTGTGAAACATGGAGTCAGACCCTCATCTCTCCCCTCACCCTCAGACCCCTGTGAACACTGTCACAGCGCGACTCCCCCAAAACCTGGGCGTGCAGCATCCAAACCACCACAGCTCCCCACACCAACCCCAGCCAGCGCAAACCAGCCCCCAGCTGTGCCCCCACTCACCAGGACCTTCGAGGAGCCCACTTTGTCCTTGATGTCCTGGATGCACTGGAGCTCCCTGTTCTCCACGGTGAAGGTGCCGCTGCAGCCCGCGATGTCGTAGAGGAAATTCTTCAGGATCATCTTCCCGTTCACTGTCAGGCTCACCTCGGGGTGGAACTGTGCTCCATACAGCTTTTTAGACTCGTTTGCTATGCCTGGTGCACATGGCAAAACAAAAATAGGCACAGCCAAGCCAAGCAGGAGACTCAAAGTGGCTCTTTGGGATGGGTAACTCCAGTGGCTTTCAAAGCCCAAATTCTAATGTCCCACAATTTCCTGTGACAATCTCTGTGTGACGTTAAAGCCCTGCTCTCAGTACCTACATTATTCCTGCTCAGTTGAACATTCATGCAATATTAAACACAGTAACAAGTTAATAAAGCTTTAATAATTAAACAGTGCCTGACTTGTACTGTGACAGTGCACAGCCCAAACCACTGGCACTGCACACCACAGGGCAGGTCTCCCTCTGCCCTGCCTTAAGGGCACAGGTTTTATTTCTAAGACAACACATGTATGCTCTAGAACAATATAAGCTATATAAATAATGTTAACTTTAACCACATTTAAATCAGGACCATTGTTTTTAAAGTCTATTTCTTTATAATCGTGACAGCTTGACATACAAACACACTCCAGAAATTGTTAAAACCACTCCATTTATTTGGCAATCAAATAACAAGGGCTATTACTCTGTTCCCATTTGGTTCTAACTCCTGTCTGCCACAATTCTTTACCAAACACAACCAGAAGACAAATTCAGGATAAAATAAATACCTGCTATGATGTTCCCAGACTGTGCCACCACTTTGAATCCATCAGCCACTTTATCCACGCTATCTCCATGAGTGAGGAGCACAAGCTCTTCCTTCTGAAGGCCTCTACACCAGGATTAAAACCCAGAATCAATTCAAGGAAGAACAAAGCCCAAACTCTGTATGAGAGATGCCCTGAGGGATTCCAACAAAAGCACATCTCCACAGACAGAGCAGGACATCTGACATGTCTGCAGGATTTCCTCGCAGGAACAGCCATCTGCAGCCCTGAGATGCCTCCTGGGAAGCCGCCCAAGTCTCTGTCCAACACACCCCTCCTGCAGGAGGGAGCTGACGTTGGTTCTGAAGGGTTTGTGGGTTTCTCCTTACACACACCCCCGCACTGAGGTCCCCTCTGGGACAAGGGGAGCCACCTGGAGTCAGTCAGGATAATGGGAGTCTTGCTTTTTATTTCAACAAAGTGAACTTCTCTTGTTCAAAACGAGGTGTTTTCAGGGCAATCTGGGCACATCAGACAGCTCTGCAGGAGCCCTGCAGAGGGAAGGTGATAAAACTGGAGCGCCAGGGATGAGTAAACTGTCAGACTTTCCACAAGGAACTTGAAAGCCAACAACAGAATTATCAAGAAATCTAATCCTGGTTCATAAAAATCACAAAGCAGTTTTAAAGGAAGGTAGAAGAGGAATGGGTTTGGATTTTCTGTGCCCTTTCCAAAACTGGATGGGCACCAACAAACACAAGAGCAGTGCACAGCAGGAGACAAGAGCTTAACTCAAATATTCTCAGATCATGGTGCACTTACAATGTCTCAGTGAAGACTATGAAATAAGGAGTTTATACAATATTGCCAGCAAATACACCTGCTTTTTTAGAGCCAATTAGAAAGTTATCCCTAAGTATTTTTTCAGTAAGTAACCTGCTTGTTTGTGACCACACTTGTAGAAGTTTTATTAGAAATTATCAGCTAATTTCTCCGTTTAAAAAAAAAAAAACAAAAACCTTCCTCTAATGCAGACAGCCCTTCCCAGGCTGACAGTGCTTTGATAAGTGGAAATGTGTGTGCACCTGAACAGCGAGCAGGTGTTGTCCAGGGTGATGCTGAACACTCCGTCCTCCCGAACGCTCTTCTTGTGCACCGTGCCTCCAAACACCTTGTTCATCATCTGAGAGCAAAGGGATCCATCAGAAAACATCTCCCCACCTGCACCACTCCATCCCTCACCTCCAAACACGCCACCACATCCCAAAGCTGTAAGGATTCCCTTCAGAGTTAATCCTGGCTCTGTACTGGGCTCGTTCCCTCTGCCAGCACAGCTGGGGGCACTGCCACACACAGGGAGCAGAACAGATCTGCAAAATTATGTACATTCCATAGTGTGCAGCCCCTCCCCTCAGAAATGGCTGCTCTGCAAACCAGCTGAGTACCTGAGGCCATACCAAAAACTGAATTTATTCTCTTGGTTTTATTCTGGGAGTAACCCTGGACAAACCAAGATGCAGGAGCAGAAGTCATGCACCTAAAGCAGCCCTTGTCTCCCTGGAAGTTGGTTTTGCTCAGCTGGGATCTACCAGATCCCTGCAGGACCACCAGAGGGTCCAAAGGGAAGTAAGGGATATTTCTTTTTTTGTGAGGGAGTGTTAAGCACTCTGAAGAACTCTGCTAGGAACAGCCCAGAGACACTGCTCCCCTTCTTTCCAGGAGAGGTGCCTTTTTCAGCACCAGCTGGGCACAATCAGTGAGTGACTGACAGGTTATATTCACCCTGACAAAACCAGGGAGTGCGGAGCTCAATTCACAGCTCTGCAGCAAAGAAAAGCCATTTATGCAACTGATCCCAAACTGGTTTGGGTTGGAACAGTCCTTGAAGCTCATCCTATCCCACCCCTGCCATGGCAGGGACACCCTCCACTGTCCCAGGTGGATCCCAGCCCTGTCCAGCCTGGCCTGGGCACTGCCAGGGATGCAGGGGATCCCTGTGCCAGGGCCTGCCCACCCTCCCAGGGAAGGGCTTCTCCCTAATCTCTAACCCAGACCTGCCCCCCTTCAGTTTAGGGCCATTACAAGGTAAGGCAGAGCCAGGAGAGGAGCACGCAGCAAGCTCAGCTCATCCATGGATGCTGCAGTGGCTCCCCCAGCACTGCCCCTGCAGAAATGAGCCTGAAGGAGGCTGTGGGCAGGCACATTCAATGGCTGCACGGGCTCCTGGAGGTGTGTCCCAGCCCCAAGGACCCTGTGCCGTCCCCAGGAGCACCTGCATGCCATAGCAGATGCCAAGCACCGGTTTTCCTATTGTGAATATGGCTGGGTCGAACCACGGTGCATCTTCTGCATACACAGAGTTTGGTCCTCCAGATATGATGATGGCTCTGCAGACAGAACAGGAAGAAATCATTAATCCAAACACACTGGTTACCTTGAAATCTATTTACTGTAAGCACTGGCACTGTCTCACACCACTCTTAGAACTGACACTTTCTAAGAGACTTCATTTTAACACAGATATCATTACACGTAACTTGATTTTTGCTGTCAGACCCAGCAGGTTTTCAGGCAAGGATTTCCCCAGTTTAAACACAGTCAAACATAAACCATCATAAAAAGTGTGTATTTTAAATTTCTCATAGCCAACCAGCAGCTATGATAAGTGAAGCAGGATGGCTGGGACAAATGTACAGTATTAGCACCAAGATATGTATTTTTATATATGTATATATATACACATAATTTATGAAGTCTGTGACATCTGGAGGAGACCTGAAGTCAAAAAATACACTCCCTAGCTCCTAAATCTGCTGGAAAAAAAGTCCCTTCATCCACTCTGGTTATGCAGAAATGGCATTAGCAGCAAGCTGAGAATTACAAGCACAATACACGTGATCATGTAGGGTTTGGAGTTAATACTTCACCCTAGAAAAGAAAATTAAATTATCTCAAAGGGGAAGAGAGAGTTTTTGCAAACCACAGTGATTTCCAGGACCATGAACTGCAGAAGCACCAGTTGGGCAACACTCGTGGCCTCGTGCTGGGATGGAGCAGGGCTGTACCAGACCTTGGACTCAGAACTGTTTGTTTCACAGAGAACATCAAACTTGTTCTGAGCCAGGAGTGCAAAACCAAACCAGACAGGACGTGCACAAATGGGATTAACGGAGCAGAGTTGTTCTGGCTCTGAGCAGCAGGAACAGGAGCTGTGCTGCCCATTCCTGCCCGTGCCACCAACAGGATCAGCCCTGCAGGACCAGCCTGGCACCAAGGCCACCTGCAGCCCCTCCAGCCAGGGGGATGGAGCTGGAAGGGGCAGCATTTGTTCCCCTGCCCGCTGGCATCTCCAGGCCAGCTCTGGAACCAGCACAGCTGACGTGGGTGCAGTTTTACCATCCTGAAAGCTGCTCCCTGCAGCTCCTGCACAGGCACTGCTGGTCAGCCTGGAGACACAGTGCATCTCCTGACCCTGGACTGCCATGAAGAGCCTGAACTCCCCTCTGTGGCTGCTGGTGCTCCTGCTCCAGATAACTCCATGCACAGAAGCAGTTAACACAGCAACCTATTCTAGTAAGAAAAACAGGTTGCACCTGTAATAACAGAAGATCTGTCCCATAAAAATCCACAATGAAAAATGTAAGCATCTTGGTGAAGAGAGAATCTTAGAAAAATGTAAACACCTGCGTGAAGAGAGAATCTTACCACACACACACAAAAACACCTTTGAACCAATGAACTGGGCAAGAAAACTACCAGCCACTAGGAGCTGGGCACAAGGTCTGCGAAAACTACATAACATGAGTTACGTGAATAAAGAATTGGCTTTCCCTGTGTGAAGAAATGGAGTCCCATGTGTTTTATTGCAACATTAGAGCTACTGCTTGGGTGGCGAGCAGGGAACAGAGGGCAGGGAAGGGGCTGGAGGTGAGGATGGAGCAGGGAAGGGCAGGGAAGGGCAGCCGTACCTGAAGCCCTGCTCGCGGATGGCGAAGGCGGGCGTCTCCAGCGGGAAGATCTCGGACTGCACGAAGAGCTCGCGCACGCGGCGGTCGATGACCTTGCCGTACTGCGCGCCCGCGTCCAGGATCACCACGGCGCCCTCGTAGTGGTGCTGCCCATCCTTGAGCTCTGCCCCGGCGTTCTCGGGCTGCCAACGGCACCCACTCAGCAATCCCATGGGGTCACCAATACCCATGTCCCACCAAGTCACCCACACCCCTCAGCAATCCCACAGAATCACCAACACCCACGTCAGAAATCCTACGGAATCGCTGACACCCGTGTCAGAAATCCCACGGAACCACTGACACCCACGTCAGAAACCCCATGGAACTGCTGACACCCACGTCAGAAATCCCACGGAACCACTGACACCCACGTCAGAAATCCCACGGAACCGCTGACACCCACGTCAGAAATCCTACGGAACCACTGACACCCATGTCAGAAATCCCACGGAACCACTGACACCCGTGTCAGAAACCCCACGGAACCACTGACACCCACGTCAGAAATCCCACGGAACCACTGACACCCACGTCAGAAATCCTACGGAACCACTGACACCCACGTCAGAAATCCCATGGAATCACCAACGTCCACTCAGCAATCCCCCAGAATCACCCACACTCACTCAGCAATCCCATGGGGTCACCAATGTCCATGTCCCACCAAGTCACCCACACCCCTCAGCAATCCCACAGAATCACCAACACCCATGTCGGAAATCCCATGGAACCGCTGACACCCATGTCAGAAATCCCACAGAGCCACGCACACCAGCAATCCTACAGGATCACCAACATTCACGTTAGAAATCCCATGGAACCACCAATACCCAGGTCAGAAATCCCATGGGGTCACCCACAGCCACCCAGCAATCCCACAGGGTCACCAAGGGCTGGCAAAAGCCCCTGTGAGTGCTCAGAGTCCAGCTGTCCACCCAACCCCACCACTGTGGTCACCACTGAACCGTGCCCTCAAGTGCTGCTTGCACACATTTTCAGAACCTCTCAGGGATGGTGGCCCCATCACTACCCCGGGCAGCCCCTCGAATGCTTTACAAACGTTTCTGTCAGGAAATGTCTCTTGATATCCAGCCTAAACCTTCTCTGGCTTTACACTGACAGCCCATTGACTAAGCCAGATCACTTTAACAACTAACATGTGCAAGGCTTTGCTAATTAGCTATGCTAATTTATGATAAAAATGACAAAGACCAGCCAAGAAACTTCAAAATGCAAAAAAACCAAAATAAATCTTAAAGGTTATAAGGAGCAGTTGAGGCACTGGCGAGATAAAGGTGCTGGACACCAGCACAGATCATGCACCCCAAGCAGACACACAGACACGACACCCCCCAAACCAAACAGGGCACAAATTAGGGAAGAAAAATGCTAATGACCTAATGAAGGCAGAGCTTTCCACAAGCAAGAGCTCATATGCCCTGATCACCATCTGCAGCCTCTCCATCTTTTTCCATTTTCTAGTTCCACACAAACCCCAGCACAGCCCACGAGAACTGAGAGCATCACCCTTTTTCTCAGGCAAAACAGCACAAAACCAAACAAAAAATGTTTTCCCCCCTGTCACGCTGGCTCGTATGCTGAACTTCACTTGACATTACCTCCTGGAGAGAATAAGAAGGGGAAATTGAGAACAAATGTCCCTGCTAAATGATTAAAAAAAAAAAACAAAAAAAAAAAACCAACACATTTTGTGCGCAGCATTTGAGCAGACTGCACGTCAGGACAAAGCAGTGGCTCCCTCTGAGCCCCTCATGCCTGAACTGCCTGCCCAACTTCAGCCGAACCTGAAAGAGTGCTAAAATACACAAGGCCCAGTTTCCTCATTAAGGAAACTTGTGAGGAGAGCAGCTATTCCATGGAAGTGTCCTTATAGGAACATCTCTAAGGAAGAATCAACAGCCATGCTTCAACACCAAAAATCTGCTGCCTAAAGAACTGAATTCTGTCAAGGTGTTCTTCCCCTAACTTAAAGCTTACCCTGTCCGTGCCAATGCAGCTTGGTGAAGGACAAACTGGGAAGGGTTTTACTTTGGCAAATGCTGCCTCCAAACACCTTGGAGCTCCATTTCAAGTTTTACTGATGGCAGGCTGGAGTGGTTCTGCTGCCTGCTCCAAACCAGCAGAACCTCCAAGCCAGGACTGGCCTGTGTTCCCATCACTGCTGCTCAGCCACGTCCACCTGGGGCAGGAACTCAGCCCAGAGCAGCCACAGGTGATTCTGGAGAGCATCACCCTGCTGGGACACAGCCTCCCAACAAACACACTGGAAATGTCCAAAGTTCACACCAGCTGCAAGAGGTTTTATCTTAATTAAAGGACATAAGTGGGGGAAAAAATAGTGCTAAATCCCTCAAAAGCCTAAATCCAGGTTAAACTCAGATGTTTAATTTTTGCCCTTCAGCTGGCAGCCAAGTTGCCTGATGGGGAGCTCTTAATGACATTTAGTCCTGGGTTACACAACAAAAAGTGCACATGCTGGAACAGAGCAGACTTCAGCAGCCTCAGCCCCAGTGAGGCAGAGCCACCAGGGCTGTCCTCCCTTCCAGGGCAGGGAGGGAATCACTTTCAGAGTGATTCTGGCCATTTTCACCTGGCAATTTCTAAATTAGCAGCTCTTGCCAGACAGACCAGCATCCTTATGCTTTCCTGAGCCCATCTTGGGGAAAACACTATTCCTGGCAGTGCTGTGTTTTTATTTCAAGCCTTTAAGTGTTTCAGAGCAGTAGGTTGTGTCATTTAGGGCCAGAGCTCCGCAGCCTCCTCACAAAAAAAGACTAAACAGAAGGTACTGTTGGTGTCAGCTCAGCTGGACTGACAGCCAAGCATCCACATCTGTAGCTAATAAATAAATAAATCTGGTTTTCAGCGCCCTACCCCGAGATGCTTTGGGCAGGCAGGTGTGGCTAATGGGGGCATGAGTAACAGGTTGGGGTGAGACAGGAGTGTGAAAACAGACAGAGGCTGAAGTTACAGCAGGAGTAGCTTGAGGAGCACTGTTAAAGCAGCATGGTTTGGTCTGTGTCCTGAACCTGCACCTCCCTCAGACCCCAGCAGAGGCAGGACAGCAATCCAGACTCCTCTGAACTCACCAGACAAGCAGAACTGTAAGGGAGTTCAGAATTAAGAAAGCCCAACACACACCACCACAAATCACAGGCAAAAAGAGGAATGGAAAAAGGGCAGAAAAGTCATCACAGGATCTTATAGTCATCACAGGCTTCACTTATAGAAGGGCACAGTTCCAAGGCTAGGGGTTTTAAACCCCAATTTACCAGGGGAAACGTCACTTGATGAAATCCCAAAAGGAGCAGATGCTGTTCCTGAGCAGCCAGCACGGCAGCTGAGCCCTGCACACCAGGGTGTGCCAGCAGATTTAGAGGACACCAGACAGCCCAGCTCCTGCAGGGACAGACGGGGCTTATGGGGCCAGCACCTCCTCCTGCCGGGGCTGACAGCCTCCCATGAAAGCTCCTTTCCCCTCAGTGCAGGTACAACTAGAGCTCCTTGTCCTCTGCTCTATCACACAAAAGTCAGGAGAACGCTCTGGTTTGAGACCGGCTGTGGGAGCTGCTCTCACACCTGTCCCAGGTGGCACAGGGCACAGGCACCACGCTGCTGTCTCAGAGCGGGGCTGAAAACAGGGCTAAAAGCGTGGGCACACCGAGAGAAGAAGGTCTCTACTCAGCTAACTCAAATCACAAGTCACCCTGAACACCAAAGACCTGAGACATGGCACCAAGGTGCCACCTGAGCCGTGTGTCACCCCAGCTGTGCTGCCAGCCTCATGCCACCACCTCAGCTACGCTGGAAGACAAAATCTTCCATCACTGCCGTTCTTCTGCGTCAAAACCAAATAATTCCGAGTTCTCCAGTGAGCTGAGGTAGACCTGGAACCAGGCTTGGGTTACCAGCCACAGACACCACAGATCCTGTTCCTCACACACCTACCTAGTGCCTTAAACTCAGTGTGCAAGCTCCTAGCAGCCCACTTGTACAGAATCAGGGGATTTTTCAGCATTACACACACCCACATACTTGCAGGTTGGTCATTAATGCAATTTATAAACCACATTTCCATACAGACCAGTCCCATTCTGGGTTACTGGAAAGAAGCAGCAGCTCCTCTGTCCGAGTCCCCGGCCCTGAGCTGTCACCCACACTGGTAACTCAGAACAAACCAAAACCAGGAGCCTTGATCTCGCACTTTCAGGCCAGCACAGGTTTTACAAGCGTTTAACTGTTTCCCTGTGGTATTGAAATTAAGCAGGTCTAAGAATACTCACTCGTATTTCACAGCATAACAGGAAAGCAGCTCCCTCAAACTCAGGCCATCCCCAAGACCAAGACAAGAGCCCCCAAATCTTTCTATGAGGGAAGCTTTAGCAGACAGGTGTGTCCTGCAGGTGTGGGTGGGCTGCAGGGAGCCGGGCCCTGCACAATCTGCTCTCACTCTGCAGGATGAGCCAGAGCTGCACACCCCATGGCCAGGGAGAACTGAGCTGCACACCCCATGGCCAGGGACAACCGGAGCTGCACACCCCATGGCCAGGGACAACCGGAGCTACACACCCCATGGCCAGGGACAACCGGAGCTGCACATCCCATGGCCAGGAGAACCGGAGCTGCACATCCCATGGCCAGGGACAACCGGAGCTGCACACCCCATGGCCAGGGACAACCGGAGCTGCACATCCCATGGCCAGGAGAACCGGAGCTACACACCCCATGGCCAGGGACAACCGGAGCTGCACATCCCATGGCCAGGAGAACCGGAGCTGCACATCCCATGGCCGGGAGAACCGGAGCTGCACACCCCATGGAAGCTGCACACCCCATGGCCAGGGACAACCGGAGCTGCACACCCCATGGCCAGGGACAACCGGAGCTGCACACCCCATGGCCAGGAGAACCGGAGCTGCACACCCCATGGAAGCTGCACAGCCCATGGCCAGGGAGAACCGGAGCCCCAGGAGCAGCCCCGGCCAGGAAAGGAGCCTGTGACCATAGCCGGGGAAAAACGGGCCAGAACACTCACACAGGGACAAAGCGAGCACACAAAACCCCTCCAGAGGCACAGCTTCTTGCAAACGAGATATGGAGCCGAGAAGGAGGGAGGAGAGGAGCAGCCCCGGCCAGGAGGGGAGGTCGCAAACACGGCCAAGGGAAAGCGTGTCAGAAACTCACAGGGGACCAAGCGGGCTCCCAGAGCCGAGCGCCCGAACCCCCGAGACACGGATTTTCCCAAACTCGATAAAGAAACCAGAACAAGTCCTTTATCCCGCCACAGCAGCGGCTGGAGGCAGCTCGGTGGGAAGTTGCATTATCAGAAAGCGCTAGAAGTTCCCGCGGCGCACGGCTCGCTCCGTGCCCCGCTGTGCCCGGCCCACACGGACACGCGGCCGCCCCGTCCCCGGGGCCGCGGCGGGACACGGGCGGTGCTGGGGCGGGGAGCCCTGCCCGTGCCGCTGGATGAACCGAGCCCCCGGCCCCGCTCCGAGCGGGGACACGGCCGGGCGGGGTTAGGGTTAGAACAGCCCCGCTCGGGGGCTTAATCAGTTAATTAACGAATTAGCGCTCCGCGAGCAGCCGGGGCTGCGGCTGCAGCGCGGGCGGTCCCGCTCCCCTCCCGGGCCGCGGGCCCCGCCATGTGCCCGGGCGGGCCGGGCCGGGCCGCAGCCCCGCGCCCCGCGGCCGCAGCACTGACCTTGGTGTCCCCGTTGCACAGGGCCATGGGGGCGGCGGGCAGCGCGAAGAAAGGGCCGCGAGGAGCCGCGGCCGATGAGCTAATGCCGCCCGCGGGAGGAGGAGCCGCCCGGCACGGCCGCTCCGGCGGAAGGGGAGGAGCGGCGGCGGGGTCAGGGGCGGGCCGGGGACGCGGCGGGGACACGGCCCGAGAGCCCCGCGCCCCGCGGGCTTTGGGGTGTGACAGCACATTTTGCTCTGTTATCAGGATAAAGGCAATCAGAGCTCCGCAGTGAGTGGGGTTTGTGCGTGAGCATCCTGTGGTACCATGGGATCGCTGGCTGCTTTGCGTTGGGAGCTTAAAGCCCATCCCGTCCCACCCCTGCCATGGGCAGGGACACCTTCCATCGACCAGGTCCATCCCGGCCTTGGACACTGAACCTGCTGTGCCTGCTGGGTGAATTCCCCAGCGGACACCGGAGAACGTGACTGCGTCCGTGGAACCCTCCTGGAGCGGTCCCGGGGCGGTTTTGATGCCTTTCCCTGAACATCAGTGAAAATAAAAGGAATAAAGGAAGGAGTGAATGAAGGAATTCTGGTTAAGGAATTCTGATTCTGCTGTCAGATTCCAAACAATTCTGACATGAGGCTGATAGAAATGTACAAGTTTGGTTCAAAGTCGGGGTTTCTGGTATGTTGTCTTTTGGGATGTGTCATTCATTTACAATTCTATTTACATTGGCATTCAAGCCAATTCAAGCAGGGCTATCTCAGAGCACATGGCACAGGATTGTGTCCAGACAGGTCTGCAGTATCCCCAGTGCGGAGACTCCACACGCTCTGTGGTCTCTGTTACAGTGCTCGCAGCAAAGATCTTCTTCCTGTCGAGGTGGAACTTCCTGGGCTCAGTCCCGGTGCCATTGCTGGGTCTCCGGAGCAGAGCCTGGGCAGAGCAGAGCTCTGACCCTCCCTGCACCCAGGGACAGACAGGGACAGCGAAGGCTGAGGGTTCCTCTCGAGGCTGAACAGTCTCAGCTCCCTCAGCCTTTCCCGGGCACGGAGGCTCCAATGATCCCGATCCGCATGCGACCCATGATCCCGGTTCCCGTTCCCGGTTCCGCTCCCGCTGCCCCTGTCCCGTCAATCACGGTCAGGGGGCGTTGCCATACATGACGTCACTCCCATTGCACCAATGGGACGCAGCCACGCCTGGCCGGCGCGGGGCGGGGCCGTTCCCTCAGCGCGGCGGCGGCGCCGGGCCCGCTCCGGGCCGTTCCCGCCCGTGCCGGGGCCGCTGCCGCTGCCGGGCCGTGCCGGACATGGCGCCCGCCATCGCCGCCGAGGAGGGCGGCCGGCAGCGCCGCGCCGCCACCCGCCAGCACAGCCTGGACCTGACGGGCGACCCGCCCCCCGAAGGGCTGCCCGGCGACACCGAGGCGCTGCTGCCGGCGCCGGGGCGGGTGCGGGGGTACCGCGCGGAGCTGGGCAGCATCCTGCTGCTGCTGGTGCTGTACGTGCTGCAGGGCATCCCGCTGGGGCTGGCGGGCAGCGTGCCGCTCATCCTGCAGAGCAAGAGCGCCAGCTACACCGACCAGGCCTTCTTCAGCTTCGTCTTCTGGCCCTTCAGCCTGAAGCTGCTGTGGGCGCCCTTGGTGGACGCCGTGTACCTGCGCGGCTTCGGCCGCCGCAAGTCGTGGCTGGTGCCCACGCAGTACGTGCTGGGGCTCTTCATGATCTACATGTCCACGCAGGTGGACGCGCTGCTGGGCGACGGCCACGGCCGCGGCCCCGACGTGGCGGCCCTCACCGTCACCTTCTTCCTCTTCGAGTTCCTGGCGGCCACGCAGGACATCGCGGTGGACGGCTGGGCGCTCACCATGCTGTCCCGGGAGAACGTGGGCTACGCCTCCACCTGCAACTCGGTGGGGCAGACGGCCGGCTACTTCCTGGGAAACGTGCTGTTCCTGGCCCTGGAGTCCGCCTCCTTCTGCAACAAGTACCTGCGCTTCGAGCCGCAGCCGCGGGGCATCGTCACCCTCTCAGGTACGGCCGGGCGTGCGCCCGGTGTGCCGGGACAGAGCCGGAGTGCGCTGCTTTGGAGGGGACCAAAGGGATTCCCATGGCAGGGACACCTCCCACTGCCCCGGGAGCTCCCAGCCCCAATGTCCAGCCTGGCCTTGGGCACTGCCAGGGATCCAGGGGCAGCCACAGCTGCTCTGGGCACCCTGTGCCAGGGCCTGCCCACCCTGCCAGGGAAGGATTTTTTCCTAACGATAATGGTTATATCTTCCTCAGGATGCTTCTTCCCTGTGCCTGGAGCCCTCTGTGGTTTGATGCTGGGAACCAAACAGGTTTGGTGTGTCCCTTGCCCTGTGGGAAAGCACAGCCTGCTTGGAGGCTGGCAGAGTCCTCTGCTAAATGCACTGGAGTTCAGATTTTGCTGGGCTTTAACCTGCCTTGTCATTATCTTGGCTGACCTAAGCACTTTGGAGGAACTCTTTTTTTTTTTCCTCCTGGTTTAATGGCCATGGACTAGATTACTCTTTAAGAACAGCAAGCCAAAGTCTCCATATGGGAAGAAGAAAGAATCAAACAAACAAACAAAAAAAGATTCTTCCAATATGATATTTTTCACAGAATAAAAGTGAAAGTGTTCAGGGTTGGGCATATAGCCAGTTTCTGAAGGAAGGCCTTATTTTAGGGGGGGATTTGCTTTTTCTCTTTAGTGAATTAAATGGAGTGTGGCAATCCAAGCATAACTGGCTGTCAGTGGAGGGATGTTTCTGTTTGCTGGGGTTTGGGATTTTTCTCAGAAAGGTTCTGTGTGCTGGTGGGTGTTAGGGGCATTACCCTGGAGATGCTGAAGTGCAGCTGGTTTGGTTGCAAGGTTGAGTGAGGACAGGAAACGCTGGCACCATTATTCTGGCTGCAGCCTCAGGGTGACCCTGCAGCGAAGAGCATCTCCCAAGGTCTCAGTCTCACACTGATTGCCTTTCCTGAGCCATCTCAGATCAGGGATGCCAGAACTGGCTGGAATTGTGTGAAGGGGAGCTTTGCTTTCTGTCCTGCCCTTTCCTCAGGGATGAATCAGGACAGCAGTGTCCACACTGCTGTGCTTGCCTGGTCTCTGCAGCTCTCACCCTGCTAACCAGTCCTCCCCTGTGCTCCCTGCTGCCAGCCTGGGCCTGGCCCGTGCCAAGGAGCACAGAGTGGCCCTGCAAGTGTCCCAGCTGGTTCCTGGCTTTCCCTGGGGCTGTGCAGCTCCTGGGCTGCCGTGTCCATCCTCTCACTGCAGTGCACACTGACGTCTTTGCTGCTGATGCAACTTGCAGCCACTGCTGTTCAGGCAGCCTGGCTTGGCTCTACTTCCCTCACTGCCCAGGGTTTTGGTTGGTTGGGGCTTTTTCCCCTCAGGGCTGTTTGTATAAAGGGTTTGTTAGTATTACAAAAGTGCTGTTTTTAAAAGATATTATCCCCTAACCCAAACAGCACCAATGCCACCTCCTTAACCTGCCCTGGAGTATTGATATGGGTGGAGTAAGAACAGCAAATAACTGACACTGTAGTTGCAGGATATGGTTTTCCAGGTGGTAAAACTGTAAGAAATGTCTGTTTCTCAGTGGTGTGAGTGGCACAGTTTGGTGTTTCCCTGGAGCAGCTGAGAGCAGCAGGAGGAGCCAGCTCACCAAGGAGCACAGGGGCTCACTGTCCTTGCCCTGGCTGTAATGGGCTCGTGATGAGCAGGTTTGGGCAGGTAAAGCAGCAGAAAACTTCACTGCTGGAAAAGGTGAATGTTCTCTGCCAGCTCAGATCTCTGAGCACTTTTGTTGTAGGCTGAGCCCGGTGCCAGGGAAAGAACAAGTCACCACTCCATGATACAGAGGGCAGCACCCCGAGGGAGCTGGGTTAGTTTGGGGAGCAGGGAAGGTTCTTCCCCAGAGGGTGCTGGCTCTGCCCAGGCTCCCCAGGGAATGGGCACAGCCCCGAGGCTGCCAGAGCTCCAGGAGCCTTTGGGCAGCACTGCCAGGGCTGTCTTGTGCCAGGCCAGGAGCTGGGGTGATCCTTGTGGGTCCATCCCAGCTGAAGATATTCTATGATCCTGAGTCAGCTTGGAGTTGTTGAGAAGCAGCAGCAGCATTCATTGTTCTCCTTAACCTCAGGAAATAATATGGAGAAATGTAAACCCATCATCAAACTCACCAAAGCGCAGGCTGTGCTGGGCTGTGTCAGGCTGAAGTGCCAGAGAAGGAAACAGGAAAAACCCTTCTGTAGGCTGATTGTCCTGGTGCATCCAGGGCTTTATTTTGCACTTGCTGTTCAGGTGGCTTCAGTTTATTTAAGAGCAGGGGAAGCTCCCTGGCTGGGTTTGTGATTCCTGCCTGGTTTGCCCAGGGAAAGGGAAGGACAGGGAAAGAGTGAACACAGGACAAAGGTGCCCCTTAAAGTCCCCTGTGCCAGGGACTGTGGAGCACCCCTCCTCCTGGCATCCTGGGTACCTGCACCACCTGGGTACCTTCTTCAGGCTGTTTTCCAGCCTGGTCCATCCCTGATCTAGTTGAAAACCTTGTCTTGCCCCATCTCAGTGGTTTGTTTTGTTACTAGCAGGGTAGCTGCAGAAACAAAATAGGGCTGGGGGAAGCAGCAGTGGTGGCACCAGAAAGTTTGTCCTTGAAATCCCTTATGTAAACTCTCATTCAAAGTTCTTCTGCTTGTAGCCTGTTAGTGAGGTTCCTTGCATTTGAAAGGAAATGTACCTTATTTTTGTGTAAACTGCCTACAGCTTCAAAAACCCCAGTTTTTCTTGTCTGAACTACTATATATATATATATATGGTGGGTTTTTTTCTTTTTTCTTGCTTTGCCTTGTTGCTGATGCAGCCCCTGCAGTGCTGTGCTGCAGCTGACAGGGCTGGCCTGATCAGGAGCACTCATGTGATGATGCTCAGAGCTATTTCTATCCCCATCCTTGCACTGTCTCTCACTGCAGTGATAATGCTCAGGGTTATTATTAGAGAACTCCTCTACATCCTTTGTAGCCAGCAGCTGTGATTTGTGAGACTCTCAGAAAATGCATCCTTCCTTGAGAATGTCTGCTCAGGGCACCTTGTGTTTTTTAAGAGAGAGCAATCTGACAGCGTTGCTTGTGAGGTCATGTTTATTTTAGGAAAGGGAAAAGTAGCAGAAATGGCATGAGGAGCCTTTTTTCTGTTACATGGGAATGGTGGGGCACACCTGGAGCAGTCCTTGCACGTTTTCTTCCCTGCTGTGCTGGAGAAGCGGGCAATGATTGACCAAACCTTTGTCTCTGCCCTTTCACCAGCCCTGGCTGCTCCTGCTGGCTTTCCTGGAGGCTGCTGGGGCTGCTCCTGACCAGGAAGAATAAAGGCTGCTTCTTGCACAGGCTGAGTTCTTTATGCTGCTTCTGTCCTAGAGGCACAGGCTGAGTTCTTTCCTGCCCCTGCCCTAGAGGCACAGGATAGGATGATCTTGACCTGGCCATTCACTCAGTCAGAAAGTACTCTCTTGGTGGCTTTTTGCTGCCCCACATCCATGATTTAGCAGATACTGATCTGCTTAAAGCAGAGCACGGGAATGCTGCCAAGGATCCACTTCAGCCACGTAAATCTGAGGACTCCTTACCACTCTGTAAAAACTTTCCTGGGGCCACCCTCACCCTCCTAAATGTCCGTTTCCTGCAGGTGGGAGATGGATGTTAGATGGGGATGTAGGGCTGAGGCACAGAGTGCTTCCCTGGCTGCAGGGTAAGGGAGGAGCAGGGAAGGAGTTCTGCCTCTGGAGGTTCTTCCCTGTTTTCTAACGATTACATGTGGTTTTCCTCCTTTATCAGCCTGCAGTGGCTGTGTGTGTAATCCTTCAACACGTTCATTTTTGCCTCTGTTCCTCCTCCAGCATGCTCACTGTGGTAATAACCCAGCAAACAGCAGGGAGGTGACCTGGTTTGCTGCTGCTCCTCTGCCTCAGCTCCAGCATCACCTCCTTGCAGAGGAGGGCACAGCTGTGTCACTCACTGGATGTAGCTCTGTGCTTGTGGTTTGCTTTTGCTGCTTGTTTTTATTCCACATTGATTATTAGGTTTACATTCTACAACTGTCAATCATGGCTGCTACAAAGAAATTTTTATTTTATTTTATTTTATTTTATTTTATTTTATTTTATTTTATTTTATTTTATTTTCCCCTCCAGATTTCCTGTTTTTCTGGGGAGCTGTCTTCTTAGTTACCACTACATTGGTTGCCTTCTTGAAAAAGGAAAACGAGGAGCTAATACCAGCAAAGGAAGAAACAAAGGGCATCACTGACACATACAGGCTGCTATTCTCAATAATCAAGATGCCAGCAGTTCTTACTTTCTGTCTCCTGATCCTCACTTCAAAAGTAAGTAAATACACGTAAGAATTGTTAAATGCTGGCATCAGAGTCTGGAAGGCTGCTGAGTCCTCAGGATGTAACTTAGTTTTGCTGTTGGCTGTCACAAGAGTTGTGAATTTTCACATGAAATTCAAGCAGAATGGGTTATCTCATGGTGCTGAGCAGGGCTGTGCAGCAGAAAAGCTTTGTGAGAGCTTTTGTGTTTGACACAAGCATTGAAGAGAAATTTGGTGGCGGTGTGGCATTAAAGTAAAGTCCATTTTTAAACAGGCTGTGTAGCCTGCAGTTGAAAGGACAGAAAATGTTTGTTTTTAGCTCAGAATCCCCGGCTCTGTCCAAGCTGGGTTTCCATGGCTCCTGGTTGGACACTGAGGATGCCAGCAGCAGGGAAGGCACAGGAGTGAATGGCAGTGCTGCTTAATGTTCCTGGAATAGTTTTGGCTGTGATGACAGTAAGAGTGGTCAAGTGTAGAACATGCAGAACTAATCTGGAAATCAAATCCGGGGCAGAAGTGACTTCAGTGACAGTGTGTTCTGTATCCCATTTCTCAATTTACGTGATAGGGAGTAAATTGAATTTCTAGCCAAACTCCCTGTTCTCCTCAGCTTATTTTGTCTCCCTGACATTGCAGATTGGGTTTTCAGCAGCAGATGCTGTAACAGGACTCAAACTGGTGGAGGAGGGAGTCCCCAAAGAGCACCTGGCTCTGCTGGCAGTTCCAATGGTTCCTCTGCAGATCATCTTGCCTCTGGTTATCAGCAAATACACAGCGGGCCCCCAGCCCCTGAACACCTTCTACAAAGCAATGCCTTACAGGTAAAGCCTCATTTCAGTGGAACACAGTGTGCTCAGTTTGTGTGTTCAGATCACCTGTAGGGTTTTGTGTGTAACTCTCACTTCCAGGTCCAGAGAAGTGTGTCAGGATTGTCACAGTGAGTTGAACTGTCTGGTTCATGCAGTGTCACTGTGTGGAAGCATGGGGTGTGCATGTACAGCACCATTAGAGCAGTGCTCTCCTGCTCCTAACTAGCAATGTCACTGCTTGTCAAATATTTGATATCTAGTTCTGAGATGGAAATAGGTGGAACTGTTTGGATCTAAACTAATTTAATGTAGTCTCTGTGGTTGTTCAGTGGTTGCTTTGTGTTGAGGAACCACATGGGAAGGATTACTTGGAATAACAAATCATCTTTCTCATCCCTCCAGGTTGCTGCTTGGCCTGGAATTTGCTTTCCTGGTGTGGTGGGCTCCTAAAGTAAAGCATGAAGGAGGATTTCCTGTTTATTACTACGCTGCAGTGGTGCTGAGCTATGCTCTACACCAGGTAACAGTCACAGTGTGGGGAGGGGAAATGCTCTTCCCTGTCCTGTCCTGGCTCACACTGGAATCCCTCCCTCCTGACCTGTGCTGTGTGGCAGGACTGACTTCTCAAAGCAGAGCACTGGAATGCTGCCAAGGATCCACTTGCAAGAATAACTCTTGCCAGTGTTATTCCTCCTTATTCCCTTTGCTCCATTGGACATCATCTGGCAGCTGCTTTGAGTTCTCTGTGACTGGTATAGTTCCCCAGATTCCTTTTCCCCAGACCCAGAAGCTCAAAAGCACAGAGGAGCTGGAGAAACCCCAGAACTGTGCCTGAGCTCGGTAGGCATGCTGATGGTTGTGCAAACAAAGTTATGTGATCCTGGTCCTAGGAAAAAAACTCATTTATTGGAGGAATATCATAATGGATCTGATCCAAAGACTTGGAAAAAAGCACCTGATATAGCATGGTCTGTGGGTCAGAACTGGAATGCAGGGCCTTGAGAGGTGATTTTCAAATGCAGAAGGGTTGTGTTAGGTGCTGTTTTAGCTGGCTGGTTGTGTTTCAGTTTGCTAACCCAAGTCATGCCAGTGCATGTGAGGCTGGGTCTGTTGCAGCATGACTTGAGACAAGCAGCGAGGCCACTCCCCGAGTTAGCGCAGGGACAGGCTGCAGGAGGAACTGCTGCTGCTGGGATCGTTTCCAGTCAGTGCTGCTGAGCTCAGGGCTGTGCTGGGGGTTTCAGCCCTGTCTGTCTGTCTGTCTGTCTGTGTCTGTCTGTCCCCAGATCACGCTGTACAGCATGTACGTGGCCATCATGGCCTTCAACGCCAAGGTCAGCGACCCGCTCATCGGGGGCACCTACATGACCCTGCTCAACACCGTCTCCAACCTGGGGGGAAACTGGCCCTCCACGGTGGCCCTGTGGCTGGTGGACCCCCTGACAGTGAAGGAGTGTGCTGGGGCCCAGGGCCACACCTGTGCCACTGCAGGGGCCTCAGAGGTGAGCCTGGGGCTGGGGGGCTCTGCTCAATGTCTGTTAAATGGCTTCTTTTGGGAACCTTCACAGTGTATAGCTTGTGTTCAGAACTCCCACTGATGGAGCTCATTCTCCTGTCTGATAAAATCCAGGCTGTCAGCAGCTGGGCACTCTGAATAAGCACCCCTTACCCAGGGTTTGCAGCTGCACAGTAGTGAGCCCTTTGTTCCCGTGCTGACCTGGAGTAGAAGGACCAGACTGGTGCCACATTCTGTGCAGTGTGAGGAGCCTGTAGCTGTGGTTTGAGTCAAGGGCTCTGTCCTTGGCAGGCTCTCTGTCCCTCCCCCAGGGCCTCTGTTTCTCTGGCAGGTTTTTCTTCCTCCTGTCTCCCTGGAGGCTTCTTATCTGCCTGCCTTGATACCTTCTCCAAGATGCTGCTCTGCTCTCTGATTTTGGTGTCCACTTTCCCCACGAAATCAAGTGGGACTGGCTGCCTGCCCAGTTCTGGGAGCCCTGTGGAAGAGAACAAAGAACTTGCTGTACACAGATCAAACAACAGGACACAAAACTGCTGGGAAAGCAGCATTTCAAATTCACCTCCTCACAGCAAATGAGACATTTGACATGGCTGAAGAGCAGAAATGTTTGGGGCTTTTTTTGTTTTGTGCTCATGACTGAGCTTTATTTCGCTCCTGAATGCCAGGATGCTCTAGGAAATGGAGGTTCTCTAAATGATCAAAGTGTTCTGGAGTCCAGCATGACTTGTCTGAACTAGAGTTGCAGTTTTTGTTGGTGCAGAGGGGAAACTGCTTCTGCAGCAGATGCTTTCCCAGCCTCTCACTCATTAGCCTGTCACTAATTAGGTTCCTTGTGTCTCAGCCTCTACTGAGCTTGAGTCCTTCCTCCTCCTTCACCTCACTCCTCTGATCCTCCTGGTTGGTGACATTCCACCACCACCACTCCCTTCTTATTCCTAATCTGATTTTGACATGTCTCAGAATAATGACGATGCTGGCAGAGCCTCAGCTCAGGGAGTTGATTTATCCTGGGATTAGAGCAGTGTTGAAAGCCAAACAATAGCAGAAACAATCCCGGGCTGTACAATCACCCTGTGAATGCTGGGTGTTTGTCTTCCAGTTCAAAACCATCCTGGGTGTGTTTCTCCCAGACACAGAACCATGGGATGGTTTGGATTGGAAGGACCTAAAAGCCCATCTAATGCCACACCTTCCACTATCCCAGCTTGCTCCCAGCCCTGTCCAACCCGGCCTTGGACATTTCCAGGTCTGGGGAGTCCAGATGGCTAGAGAAAAAAATCATCTTTCTCTGTGAGGCTGGGGGCAGTGGTTGCACCTGCAGGCCAGCACGGACAGTGGGGCTGTGTCTGTTTGCTGGAGTTTGCCCTTTGGGCTGATGTGCTCCATTTCCCACGTGTTTAGGGCGGGTTTGGTACTTTGTTACATTTCGTGCTGCTGATAAGCTCAAAAGCCTCTCTGACCAACTGCATAAGAAACAAAGAGTAAAGAACTCTATTTATTCCTGCCCAGGAGCAGGGAGACAGCTCTGGAGTGCTCAGTGCACTCCCTGTGTGCTCAGTGCATTCCCTGTGTGCTCAGTGCACTCCCTGTGTGCTCAGTGCATTCCCTGTGTGCTCAGTGCATCCCCTGTGTGCTCAGTGCATTCCCTGTGTGCTCAGTGCATCCCCTGTGTGCTCAGTGCATCCCCTGTGTGCTCAGTGCATTGCCTGTGTGCTCAGTGCATTCCCTGTGTGCTCAGTGCATCCCCTGTGTGCTCAGTGCACTCCCTGTGTGCTCAGTGCACTCCCTGTGTGCTCAGTGCATCCCCTGTGTGCTCAGTGCATTGCCTGTGTGCTCAGTGCATCCCCTGTGTGCTCAGTGCACTCCCTGTGTGCTCAGTGCATCCCCTGTGTGCTCAGTGCATCCCCTGTGTGCTCAGTGCATCCCCTGTGTGCTCAGTGCATTCCCTGTGTGCTCAGTGCACTCCCTGTGTGCTCAGTGCATCCCCTGTGTGCTCAGTGCACTCCCTGTGTGCTCAGTGCACTCCCTGTGTGCTCAGTGCACTCCCTGTGTGCTCAGTGCATCCCCTGTGTGCTCAGTGCATCGCCTGTGTGCTCAGTGCATCGCCTGTGTGCTCAGTGCATTCCCTGTGTGCTCAGTGCATCCCCTGTGTGCTCAGTGCACTCCCTGTGTGCTCAGTGCATTCCCTGTGTGCTCAGTGCATCGCCTGTGTGCTCAGTGCATCGCCTGTGTGCTCAGTGCATTCCCTGTGTGCTCAGTGCATCCCCTGTGTGCTCAGTGCACTCCCTGTGTGCTCAGTGCATTGCCTGTGTGCTCAGTGCATCGCCTGTGTGCTCAGTGCATCCCCTGTGTGCTCAGTGCATCCCCTGTGTGCTCAGTGCATCCCCTGTGTGCTCAGTGCATTGCCTGTGTGCTCAGTGCACTCCCTGTGTGCTCAGTGCACTCCCTGTGTGCTCAGTGCATTGCCTGTGTGCTCAGTGCATCGCCTGTGTGCTCAGTGCATTCCCTGTGTGCTCAGTGCATCGCCTGTGTGCTCAGTGCACTCCCTGTGTGCTCAGTGCACTCCCTGTGTGCTCAGTGCACTCCCTGTGTGCTCAGTGCATTGCCTGTGTGCTCAGTGCATCCCCTGTGTGCTCAGTGCATTGCCTGTGCTCTGTTTCAGCTGTGCACAGCAGCTGGGGGCTCCTGTGTCACCACCCTGGACGGGTACTACGTGGAGTCCATCATCTGCGTCATCCTGGGCTTTGCCTGGTGGTTCTTCCTCGGACCAAAATTCAAAAAGCTGCAGGACGAAGGACAGTCTTCGTGGAAGTGCAAGAGGAGCAATTGATGCACTCAGGTGTTGGATGGACCAGCCAGGTGGTTTTAGTTTTATTACAAAGACGTTCCCCATAATCAGCACCCCGGAATCTCGGCGTCCTGTGCCACGCCAGGGAGATCTGCGTGGCCGAGGCAGGGCTGTGCATGGCACCACTGCCCTCCCCACAGCACAGCAGTTCAGAAAGGAATGGCCAAAGCAGCACCTCCGTGCCCCATGCCTACCCCTGCCTCCAGAGCTGCTGCTTCCATAGGGCGCCTCTGGGAAAGCTCCTGGTGCCGTGGCTGTAGAGGCAGCAGCATTGCCAGCTGAGTGCCAGCTTTTATTTTCATACAGAAATGATCTGACAGGGCAGCTGAGCCGGGGAAGGATGCCCAAGGAATTCTGACTGGAGGTTAAGCGTGGTACTGTGGAATTCCTTGTGGGAAGATCAGTGTGAGATGTCTGTGGGCTTTGCTTCTTCTCACTTTCTGAACTGTAACCGCGCCTCAAAGGATGAAATGTTCCGGAGATTCTTTTAAATGTATTTTCTGGCTTTTATAAGCTTTAAAGATTTATAAGAAACTATTTTTATAAGCGAATTACATTTGTTTAATTTATTTCCGCTGTTTCAAGGCAGTTTGATTTACGTTCAAGGTAATTTCTTGACGGCAGAAGGCTGTAAGGTAGGGCTGGAACAACGCACAATCCTCTGAGCCTTGAGTCCTGCAGCTGCAGCTGGCGGTGCTTCCCAAGGGAGGGCACGTGGGCCTTTGGAAGGGGTGAGTTGATAGGGGAAGGCAAATCCATTGGTTTTCCAAAGTGTATTACTGAAATTTGAATGTTCATTCTCAAAAGCAGTGGGAGCGCTGAGAGTTCCCCCAGGCAGGGTGAGAAGAGTGAGGTGGTGATGACAGAGGTGCCAAACTCCAGGGAGCTGGTGCAGGACTCACCCTCACACCAATCCAATCCAATCCAATCCAACGGGCACGGTCCTGTGGCAGAGCTGCTGCAGAATTCACTGCTGGTGCCACGTGCTGGAAACATCCCTGCTGGATTGCTCCCACTGAGCTCCCTCCTGAGTGCCTTAGGGACCCACAGGGGCTGGAGAGGCACTCAGACCCTGCTGGGGGTATGTGGAACACTGGTATTGAAAAGGAAAACTATTAAACATCCCTTGCAAAGGTGCACGAGGTCACCTGCCACGTTTCTTGTCACTATTTGAGGGGCTGGGCTGGGAGGGGGTTTGGGATCTTCTGCTACTGTGCGTTTTGGGGGAAAAGTGACCCAGTACCACCTCTGGGGTACTGGGGGGTGGGTGGGTGTACAAAGGGTCTCCTTGGCATCAGGGTAAGGAGGGGACTGGCAGAGGACACTGTGACCTCGTGCTTCACTGGGCACTGCCTCCTGTCGTGTGTCCCCTCCCTGGAGGGACACACCGCACAGTGTGCTGCAGGCACAGCAAAACCACTCGTGCTGAGTGAAATCACATGGGTCTTACTGCCCAAGCACAATGTCTTCCAGTTTCCCTTCTGCATGAGAACAAAACATAAAAATATATCAGATTTATGTCTGTCCCTTTCAGTCCGTGTCCCGCCAGCTCCACTGCATGAACTCTGTGAGGCACTTCAGTTCTGGGTCCCCTCTGGAACCGTGGGCTGCTTATTGAAGTACATCTTGCACACCTAGAGGGGTTGTTTTAACTTTTCTGATTGGGAGGAAAAACATCAAGTGCACAAGCTGATAAATTAAATTTGCTGTGTATTAGATTTGGGTTTTACTTTGCAATTTTTTTTTCACTATTTCTAAAGGTGCCAGTGAAACTTGTCACTAATAAAGATGGGTTAAGGATTAACTCAATCAATAATTAGATAATCAACAATATCAAAATTGCACATAAACTCCAAATAGGTAGGAGTAGATATGTTACCTGAAATAAATAACTGTGTTCTTTTTCAAACTGGTGAAACAAGTTATGGATTAGTGCTTTTAAGTACTTATTTTGTAAATTGGAAATGTTGCTGCTGTACCAGCCCCTCAGCAGGCTGCTGAAGGGCACCCATAAAATTTTGATTTTGCTACTTTTTTTCTACCAACTCTGTTCAAAAGTGGTTTTTCTTTTTAACATTAGAATTTGTACTTTAAAGACTTAAACATCTTTAACATTAAAAACACAAACAAACAAAAAACAATCCCCAAACCAACAAGAATAATAAATCAAACAAAATTGAAGTGCCAAGAGGAAAGGAGCATCTGAAGTGTCAGAGGAGGTGTGATACAGGTTTGAGGAGCTCAATGCAGAGTTCAGGAGCTCAGAGCCCTGGCAGGGCCTGCAGGGGCTCCAGGAGAGCTGCAGAGGGACTGGGGACAGGAATGGAGGGACAGGACCCAGGGAATGGCTCCCAGTGCCAGAGGGCAGGGATGGGTGGGAGATTGGGAATTGTTCCCTGGCAGGGTGGGCAGGCCCTGGCACAGGGTACCCAGGGAGGCTGTGGCTGTCCCTGGATCCCTGGCAGTGTCCCGGCCGGGGCTGCTCGGGGCCGGTGTCGCTCCGTGGCACGGCGGCGCCGGGCGCTGTTCGTTTCCCGTTCCCGCGGGGGCGCTCGGCACGCCGCGATGTCGGAGCGGGGCGGCGGCGGCTCGGAGCGCGCCGCGCTGGCCCTGGCCCGGCTCTCCGAGTGGGTGGACGCGCACCTGGGGCTGCTGCGGGTACCGGGGCTGGGCGGGCACCGGGGCTGGGCGGGTACCGGGCCGGGGGGGCCCGCTGGGCCCGGCTGAGCCCCGTTCTCTCCGCAGGGCCTGATCACCGGCGCGGCCGTGGCCGGGGTGCTGCTGCTGGCGCGCAGCCTCCGCGTGGTGAGTGCGGGGCCGGGGGATGCGGGAGAGCCCGGCACGGGCCCGGGGGATGCGGGAGAGCCCGGCACGGGCCCGGGGGATGCGGGAGAGCCAGGCACGGGCCCGGGGGATGCGGGAGAGCCCGGCACGGGCCCGGGGGATGCGGGAGAGCCCGGCACGGGCCCGGGGGATGCGGGAGAGCCAGGCACGGGCCCGGGGGATGCGGGAGAGCCAGGCACGGGCCCGGGGGATGCGGGAGTGCCAGGCAGGGGCCCGGGGGATGCGGGAGAGCCAGGCACGGGCCCGGGGGATGCGGGAGAGCCAGGCACGGGCCCGGGGGATGCGGGGGAAGCACGGCACGGCCGCTCAGAACCAGCAGGTGCGGGGAGCGCCTGTCACGGGCCCGAGGGTCCGGGGAGAGTCTGGCACAGCCCCTCGGAACCGGGGACAGCCCGGCGCGGGCCCGGGGAATGCGGGAGAACCCGGCGCGGCCGATCAGAACGGGGGGCAGGCCGGCCTGGCCCCTCAGAGCCAGGGGCAGCCCGGCCCGGCCCCTCAGAACCAGGGGCAGCCCGGCGCGGCCGCTCGGAACCAGGGGCAGCCCGGCCCGGCCCCTCAGAACCAGGGGCAGCCCGGCGCGGCCGCTCGGGCCCGCGGCGGAGGGGCCGGGCCTGCCCTGCCCTGCCGTGCCCGTCCCTGCCTCACGGCCCTGTCTGTCCCGCCCGGGGCTGTTCCCGCGGCGTTCCCGTGTTTTGTTCGGGTTTGCGCAAAGCGGGAGCTGGAGGCTCCCGAGAAAGGCTGCCCACTCCTCAGTACTTAACATTATTTATATATTTTAACAAACCATCAACATTCGCTGCTTACAAATTCCGTGACTTTTCTGTCAATTCTATCAACTCAGCCCTTTCTGTGTCAGCTGTGTTTGTCGTTTCTCGTGCTGATCAGCCCCAGCCCTTCCCTCCGCCGGAGCGCGGGGTCCCTCTGGCCCGGGTGGTCAGTGCTCAGTGGTCAGTGTCTGATGGTCAGTGCTCAGTGGTCAGCGGTCAGTGCTCAGCGGTCAGTGTCTGATGGTCAGTGCTCAGTGCTCAGTGCTCAGCGGTCAGTGTCTGATGGTCAGTGCTCAGTGCTCAGCGGTCAGTGGCTGATGGTCAGTGCTCAGTGCTCAGCGGTCAGTGCTCAGTGGTCAGCAGTCAGTGCTCAGCGGTCAGTGTCTGATGGTCAGTGCTCAGTGCTCAGTGCTCAGCGGTCAGTGGCTGATGGTCAGTGCTCAGTGGTCAGCGGTCAGTGCTCAGTGCTCAGCGGTCAGTGGCTGATGGTCAGTGCTCAGTGGTCAGCAGTCAGTGCTCAGCGGTCAGTGGCTGATGGTCAGTGCTCAGTGGTCAGCGGTCAGTGCTCAGTGCTCAGCGGTCAGTGTCTGATGGTCAGTGCTCAGTGCTCAGTAGTCAGTGGTCAGTGCCCAGCAGTCGCGCTGTCCCCCTGCTGGAATTGCCTTTTTCCCGGCACAGCTCAGCCACGGCTGGTGGCTCCCGCCCAGACAGCCCATTCATCTTGGCATTGTCTTCCCTTTTCCTTAAAACTAAAGATTAGCCAAGCGTGCAAGGTTCACAATGCGGTTGCTTAATCATAACGGTCCTGCTACAGCTACTGATTAACAAGTGAAAAAAAGCCAGCAGTGTTTGATTCAGGTCCCGAGGGACGCGATATCGCTGTCCTGTGGCATCTCCACGGGTCCCTTGTTCTCGGCTGTTCCTGAGGCCCCTGGGAGGGGTAATGACCCCTTTGCCTGTCCCACTGCAGCTCGAGCAGCCTCCCTTGTCCAAACACAGCTGAAACAGCTGCTTGCCTCGGGTATTCTCTGTCCTTCACACGAAGAACTGCTTCTGAATGGTTTTAAAATCACCCAGATGTTCCCTCGCTGCCGGGATGGTCAGGGCACGCTGGGCTAACACCACGCTGCTCACTCCTGGAGAAGCTGAAATTCCACAGGCAGCAGCCACCGTGCTCCCACAGGGTTCCAGCTGCTCAAAAAATCATAATTACCTTCATCTTCCCCCTGAACAATTCCAAACAGTACAGGAGAACATTTGTGTGGTGTTTTTACTTAAAAATCCTACCAGAAAACCTGAACTACAAATGTTGCCAGAATGCTTTTTCTCTGTCTTTTTTTTTTTGGTTGGTTTTGACCCAAGGGCCTGTGAATGCATTAACCTGGCTGGTGGAGCAAATGAGATCGGCTTTGAACAACTTTTGTTCCTAAAACCCTCCAGGTTTCCTGCCTGCAAGGTCCCAAATTCCCGTGTTCTCTGTGGGCCACAGAGGGGGAGCTTTGCTGAATAAATGACACACAGGAGGCACAGCTTTAGTTGTGGTGTTTTGGGGGTTTATTTCCCACAGTTGTACAGCAGTGCTCAGTGGGTTTCACAGCTCTGCAGGTCAGTGCTCTGATAAGGCCTCCTACAGTGTCTTAAATTTTGGGAGTCTTAATTTTTTGGGGTCTCACGTGTCCTTCTGCCTCACCCCAGACCTGTGGCTGCTCCATTCCCGTGCCACAGCCCAAGTCTTTGCTGCTGCTCAGCTTGGTTTTGCTGTGTGATCACATAACCATCCCCTTTGGATCCTCCCAGGCTGTAGTATCAAATTTAATCTTCTTGTGATCTTCTCAGGGCTGTTCACCTGCCTTTGTCCCTCTCCTGGTTTCAAAGGCGGGGTTGTTTCTGCCCTGCCTGCTCCGCCTTTGTTTTCAGCGTGTCTGTCCTCTGGCTTCCTTTCACCCCTCTCCCAGCCC